TCCAGTATTATACTCACTCACTCTTTAAGCCAGAAAGTTTCTCGAGCTCTCAAGTATTTTCCTGGAATTTCATTGTTTTTTGTTTGAATTAAATGGCCTTAATCTAACCCGTCAATAATCCTGTGTGCCCGTTGTGGTAAATTGAATTAGTGACTGATGACATAAATCATTATCCAGAAGAAACTCAAGACTTAAAAGAAAGTTCAGGAATGTATTTGACATTTCTAGAGACTTCCAGTAATGTGAGTGAGTTAGTATAAAACTGGTTGCTGCTTCACTCAGCTGGTAACAGTAAACAGTAAAGCAACCAGTAAAAACAAATCTAAACCTCACTTGCAAACTTCAAACTTTCTTACTTTTTCCTGTGTTCCTAATCTTGTGCTTTCAATTTATATTTTGTGCTCAACAACAATCAAAGTCTATTAAAATGTCTCTTGTTCCACGACTCATTGATACAATGTTCCGAGATCCATTCGATGATATCTATCCAATCATCGCTTATCGTGAACCAGTTATGGATTACCCTAGACGATCATGGGGTCAAATGAATCGTGCTCTTCGTCAATTAGACCAATTGTCTAAGCATCTTAATCAAGAAATGGCAACAATCAAGGATTCCGAGGATAAATTCGAGGTTAATGTTGATTGTGCTCATTTCAAACCAGAAGAGATAAACGTTAAACTGTCTGACAATAATCTGGTTGTTGAAGCTAAACACGAAGAAAGATCTGATGAACATGGTTACATTTCTCGATCATTCAAGAGGCGATATGTTCTTCCAGAGAATGTGGAATTGGAGAAACTTCAGTCAAATTTAGGAGTTGATGGTGTACTTTCAATCAAGGCTCCAAAGAAGGTTGTCAATGCTGTTACAGGAGAAAAGAAGATTCCAATCACTTTGACCAACCAAGTCCATCAACCAGTTGAAAGTGGTGATAAAGCTCAAACTGAAAAGATGGAAACCAAATAAACAAACAAATCAAGCCAAAGATATTGAATCAAAATTAAATTCTGGTCCAATCTCTAAATTTAGGTTTTTGAAATTGTTGTATTGAAACATGAGCTTTTTTATGCAAATGCATATGTGATACTCTTTTATATTGTAAAGATCTCACTTTACTCATCTTATTGTAATTGTGATCATAATTACAATAAAATTATTTATTAATATTTAAAAAAATTTTGTTCTTTTTTATTATTTTTTCTTAATTGCATTATCATATTTTTCTTATAATGACATATCATACAGTAATATTATTGGATAAAGGGAATATTTATCTTTATTGAAAGCATCCAAAATGACAGGAAAGGTGTCAGAGAATCGTAACGAGTCAATTAAATATATCAGCCGAAATGTTACTTTTATTAGAGATAGCTGAGTCTTGATACACAAGTGCTCAGCTGATTTGCATAAACCTTCGTGAGAAGTATGATTTAGGTTTTTGTTGTGTAACTGTCTGATCCAGTTGCGTAGTTAGCACTTCGATTAATTTTAAGGATGAGAACCGAATCTGTCTAAAGTTTAGATTCCTTCAGAAGTCTCGATTAAGATTCCATTTTCCGACGTGGCGTTTAGTTTTTAAGTTATTTTATTTATTATTTTATAGATTTATATATTTTGAGTTGAAAGATTGAAATGCTGCAATTCGTTGGAGCCAGATTTGAGTGGTTTAAATTCACTGGATTATAATTTATGAATAGCTAAAAATATTGATGTTACTAATCATTGCTATTATTCAATATTTACATACTATTAATACACAAGTAATTGTTAGAGAGATCAGTTATTAGCTCGTTGTTAAAAATGCATTGATACACTTTTGCTAACGATTCGGCCATTCTTCAAGCAGTCTTTAAACAGTTCAACGGCTCTGATTCAAAAAGCTTAATAAAGTGTTTTTTTCTTTTCAAACAATATTCGATTCTTTTGGTCATTTCATTAGTTTAGATAATCACGCAAAAAATAATATGAAAATAATTTTAAACATCCTTTGAAATCATTTAGCTTTAAGGGTTGAAACTCTGTTGACAACCAAAAACTAAAAATACATTAGACCCTTGAAATCAAAGAATCATTCAGAACCAAATCTTTGAATGATCATGAAATGATCATGATCCTGCTTGCGATAATTGATCTCTAATAATTGTCTGATTATTAGTCAATAGATTGTCCCGAAAAGACAAATTAGTTTTGGTAATTTATTTTATGGATGAATTAAATCTAAGAGTTTCATTGCATGAATACATCAAAGAAATAACTTTAATGAAAATAATGAGAATAATGAAAAGAGTCAGAAAAATGGACCGAGTGATCATTTGAGTCCATTTGCCATATCACTTAACAATACCAAGCATATGAGCTACTAATCTTGACCATATTAGATCTCAATGAACTATTTTCTCGAAAATGGAAGCTGGAAGTTTAGCTGGACGTCCTGAGATTCCGGAAAGACCCAAGGACCAGCTGGTAATGAACGAATCCTTTTTATTGCATTAAACAAATACTTTAACAACCAGAAGAGAGTAACTCCAATCAAAGCGTTAACTAGAGGCTGTGACACTTGAAAATTATTCAATAAAGACATAAATTTTTGCATGCAATTGTAATTGTTTACAATTATATGTTATGTTGACAATTAAATAATATTTTTGAAACAACTGCAGCTGAGATTCAAGTATTTTATTCAAAGTTTCAATAACAAATTATGGACTTAGAAAAGTTTTTGTAAACAAAAAAGAGAGACAAATGGAGTCTCTTTCATTCAGTAAGGCCTCGTCAAGGTTGTGGACCATCTAGTTATATCACAAGGCTAATGACCAGTGGCTATGCATACATATATGTAACTTTTCTTGCGTATTATTAGCATTAACATATTATAATTGAAACTAATTTCTTTTTTTAAGTTAATTGTTTGTCTTTGTTTTCAGAAATGCTCTTTGTCTCATCATTGAAACTAGTTTGGTTAATAGTTGGTCTGGTTAAATGGTGATACAAATGCATCAAACTTGAAATTTGTTTTGAATGACTTTCATGTCCATGGAAAGTTTTTGTTGGCATGTGAAAAATTATTCAACTTTTAATGCACTCAAAATACTTAAGGAATCTGTATTAGGTAGTTATAAACATGAAATGGATCTCAACAAGTTTTTACTTTAAAGTGCACCAATTAATGTCATGCTTTCAATTGAATAAAAGCAAAGTAAAATTGAACATTGATCTTTTCACTAATTTATTACAATAAATACAATAAGAATCAATTCAGTCTTTTTTGTTTATTTGCGTAAATGGCAGTATCAAAAAAGCTGATGAAGAAACGATCTTTAGGTTGGTTAGAAGTTCATTGAAATGCTGATTTACTGATTTATTGAGCCAATCTGAGAAACAAAATGTAAATGAAGAAGGTGTTTTGTGAAAAAATATGATTTAATTTTACTACTTGGTTGACAGCTCGGGTTCAAACTTTTAATCTGACTAGTTTTAGTCTGAATTATCAATATCGCATTGAAAAAAGAACTCAATTCTGAAATCAAATAAACCTTTGATTATTGATTGTTGAGATTAACGATATGCCTTTCTATTAAATCAATAAATCTTTCGCTTTGGTACAGATTATGACAAAAGTTATTTGTCATTTGTCTGGACATTTGTGAGATCAAACATTATTTAAAATATAAAATAAGAAATACTTGAAATGAATTCAGATTGAACAATAAATCCAATGAATAAATCAATCTAATCTGATCCAATATTAGATTAAAAAATATTGCAAATCATGGAGCCAGGGGCATCTGAGAAATACTGAAGACTAATTCTTTGGAAGAAACACACAATTTCTAAATGTTGAATTTAGCTTTTGATTAATCGCATCAAATATTGTTAATAATAAAGCCAGATCTCTTAAAGATCTCTCTCTTTAGGATGCAAAGAAAGAGCATATAAAAACACAATATCAATAATTTAATGTAAAGTCCCAAATCAACGAAATTATCAAATACTGAATCAAGTTAAGAATTATCAAAAGTGATAATTAATATCGACATTTCCAACATGATGCCTTTACAAGAATTCCCGAAAACTCCCATTCAACTATCCTTTTTATATCTAATGAACATTCTTTGCTTTTGTTTGAATGCTGCAAGTCAATTGATGTCATTTATCCCGAACTGCTTCAATTCACGAATATTAGTCCTTTTCAGAGTTATGTTCTCATTACCAGTATTTTCATTATTAGTTAATACTTTGATTGGAGTTGCCCTCTTCTGGCTGGTAAAGTATTTGTTTTACACAATAAAAAGGATTTATCAATTACCAGCTGGTCCTTGGGGTCTTCCTATTGTTGGCTATTTACCCTTTCTAGGTGATCATGTTTACCTTCAGTTTGACCAATTGTCTAAAAAGTATGGACCAGTTTATTGTTTAAAATTGGGAAAGCATAATGTTGTTTTGGTTTGTGATTGGCCTCACTTGAAGGATGCTATTTCCAATGATGCTCTACTTGCTAGACCACATGAAGCCCTTGTCACTGGTGTATACGATACAAGATCATTTGTTGAAATGTCAGGAGATCCTTGGCGTCAACACAAACGTTTATCGTTACACATTTTACGTGATGTTGGTTTGGGAAAGAGTAAAATTGAAACTCTGATTAAAGAAGAGATTGACCAGTTTCTAACAACTTTGGACAATAATAGTGAGCCTCTTGATTTTAGTCGCAGAATTGGTCCATCAATTTCTAATAACGTTGCTATATTGTTATTTGGTCATAAATATGACTACAATGATCCCGTTAAAATCGAAATGGATAGAGCTCAAAATGTATTTACTCGTTTATTCAAATTTGCTGGAATTTTAGCATTTCTACCTTGGTTATCCAAACTACTAATTTTCCTTGGAAAGTTGAATTTAGACATCATAAAACAGAATCTTATAATTGTTGATAAATTTATTCAAGAGGAGATTGATAGACACCGAGGGAAACATAATAACACTCATGAAGTCGTTGATTACATTGATGGTTACCTGGAAGAGCGAAGAAACAGAGAGAGACAGAACATATCTGAGGGTTCTTTCAGTGAAATGGTATTGAGACGTAATGTTGCTGCATTTTTCGGTGCTGGTTCAGAGACTGTTTACAGTACGATGGAATGGACAATGTTATACCTTGTAAAATATCCAGAATATCAAGACAAAATACGTTCAGAGATAGCTGATGTCATTGGATTTGAAAGGAGACCAGATTATGCTGATAGAGCAAGAATGCCATTTACAATGGCATTTATTCATGAAGTACAGCGAATTGAATCAATCATTGCGAATAATTTGCTAAGAAGAGCATCTGAAGATACCAAAATCGGCCATTACAGCATACCTAAAGATACTTTAGTTATCTTCAATTTCTGGTCAATTAATCGTGATCCTAAACTTTGGCCTAATCCTGATAAATTTGATCCAACTCGTTACCTTACTGAAGATGGCACTAAAGCAGTGAAACCACCTTATCTCATACCTTTCAGTGCTGGTAAAAGGAACTGTCCAGGTGAAGGTTTAGCCAATCTTGAGCTATTTTTATATTTAGTTTGTATGGTACAAAGATATCGTATCAAAGTCGAACCACGAACGGAATTATCTTTTGAAGCAGTTTTCGGAATTTCAAGACGTCCAGCTAATCTTCCAGCTTTCATTTTCGAGAAAATAGTTCATTGATAACTAGGTCTTGAAACTTGGTCTAGAGCTTGTCAAGATTTGCAATAATTATTGACCAAATTAACTTAAACTTTGATAGTTTCTTAATTTATCCACATTAAATTTCAAATATTATGACAATTAGTTTGATTTAATTAAGGTTTTTTTGGGAAAGGTGAAATTAATATGTCAACTACTGGAGCGAAACCTGTTGCCTCGCTTAACTTACTTTGTGAACAAATCTAATTGAAATGTGTTGAACTTAGCTGACTTAAATTTTGACTTAAATTTTGAATTATGGTGGATTGTTAGCAGACTATAATTTACCTGTTGGATATATACATTCGTGCTTCATTTCTTCACGTAGTGTCTAATCATGTCAATACAACTTAAAATTTCAAAAAATCAACCTTTAAGCTGTTGTTACTTTGTGTTGGTAAGTATAACTCATGGTAATTCTCAAATAATGAACAAATAGAACACCTTTTATTGATCAAATTTGTATTCAATTGGAAAAACTTGAGTCATTACAAAAATGGAAGTAAACGGATGCCATAACAATAAATGCTTGCATAGGAGCACAACAATCAATACTTTTCTTAACATTTTACGAAAAAATTAAATCAATTATAATCAACCAACTCTTTTTCATCGAGCGGAGTAGCCATGTAACCTGGTTTCCGTCGCACGAAGAATCCACACTGAAAAATAAACATAAAGCATAATTTTTAATATCAGAAAAGCTGAAAAAGTTAATTAAATCTTTATGAAAATAGGTGCTTACTTTCCATAAGACAATGATTAACAAAATAAGCAACAGTATTCCTAAAAGTATAGACAGGATTATTATCCAAAGAGGTACCGGTGATGGCAGTAAAGGTAAATCTGGATAAGCTTTAGTTATTGCCTGAAATGATGGAACGAAAAAGATTTGATTAGCTAATTTATACACTAATTGCGATTGAAAATAATCAAATAAATTCAGCTTACAAAGGTACTATCATCATTTGTCCGATTTTGCCTGATTGAAGGTCCGATTGCTAACTTTGCTCGTGAATAAATATGAACTTGATTAACACCTGAAGCGTAATCTTCAACAAAAGTTGAATTCCAAAGTCTACCTATGAACACAATTACCTTTAAAAATAAAAATAAAAAATTTATATTATTTAAGACAATTCAGATGAATAGAAAAATTTGAATCAAACAATGACAAAACAATGTAACTTACTGATGGCACTCCTGGACGGAGATCTTGAAGATAACATAAAAATTTATAGCAACGAGCCGTCTTTTTTTGACAATCCTGTTATTCAAATTAATAGACAAGTATTAGATAATATTCAATTAAAATTTTGTATCTAAAATAATTTATCAAAAGCATAATTTAAAATCATTTACTTACTAAAACAACTACATTTTGACTTTTACCATCTTCCATTATACGTTTAGCTGGAACCATGGTTTGCCTTTTTGGTCTTGATTTAACAAAAGAGTCACTTTTTATTGAGACTGTTTCAGAATCCTGTGAATAAATCATAAATAATTGAAATAATTTATATTATAAATCCAGTTTAAACCAATGAAAGCATAATGATAACCTTACCCAAATTTTAAGTGGATTAACTGTACCAAATGTTGGTACACATTGACCTTTACCCTGTACAACAATTGTATTCATTAAGTAGAGAAGCCTGAAAATATGAAATGAATGACATTATTAATGGATGATGAACCAACTAATAGACAATAAACAAGAAATTACCATTTTCCCTCTTCTTTGTCACTGGAAAGTGAATAAGGCCAATCAATTTCAACAGTTAATTCCTTTGGATGATAAGGTCCATTTGATATAATTGTATAGGAATGTTCAATTCTACTTCCGATGTCATCAGACGTTTTCTGAATAATTCAAATATTTTCACCTTTTCCAGTTAGTGTTTTCATTACAAAAATACAGTATATTTGATAACTTACCATTGCAGCTTCACCAACAACTTTACCACCATACCAAACTCTTTCTGGATATGAAAAACCTTTGATTTCTAAATCAGCTTTACGTATAATTTTTAATCTAGTTGTTATGTCATTATTTGCTTGATTCACATCAAGACTCGTTGTATTTACAAAAACTCGTATAATGACATCATTTTGCGTTTCAGTAACCTCTCGTGGATCAAATTTCAGATTTAATTTTAGCTGAGGACAAAAAATTAAGACGCAATTAATAATTTGAGTTAATTTTTCTTTTCATAAATCTTACCTCTCCTTGTTTAAATGGATTACCCAATTCACAGACCAAAAGGCTAATATTGAAAGGTTTACAATCGATTTGTTGACGATCTTGAATGAACTAATCAAAGCAAATCAAACAATTACTAATGTGTAATAACTAGTGTGTTACAGCGCTATTGAACTTTATTACTGATTGGAGATAAGAAATTGAACTCATCACGATAGCAGTTCTTAGAACTTCTAACAATGAAATGTACTCAATATAGATAAGGACTTAAAACTGCAATCGCTGTGAATTATCATGGAATTATCTTACTAATAATTATCCTCCAAAGAATAATTTAAGTGCTAATTCGCTATCAGATTGCACCGGCCAACAATCACTGATAAACACTAAGTTATACAATGAATTACCGTTTGATCTTTTCCAATGTAAGTAATGGATGGATGATAAATATAAAGATTAGCATCATATGCTGGTTCCATTGTATTACGAACAGTTAATTCCAGATTAACATCAGTTGATCCTAAATCAAGAAAATTAAAATTAATAAAATTATTGACAGAAATGTGAAGTTGACTATTGAATGATTAAAGAAGCAAAAAGCAATAAATTTTCAGCCTTTTCTTAATTTTCAACAGTAAATAAATCAACCAATTTGGTTTATTTGTTTTGCCTTCTAGTAATCAAAATGAGTCAACTCCATTTAACAAACGTTGAATTAAATTACTGATCAAGATGTTTACCTAAATACAAGATTCTATCCTGTGTATATGGTGTATCCAATGGATGTTGTAATTTGACGGTAACATCTAAATTGCTTTGACATTGCTCAGAGTTTTCTAAAAATATAATGGAATAAGATAGTTAGAAGAAAAAAATTTACAAATATATTTAGCTTGATAGTAGATTTAATAACGGCAATTCAACGTACTGCATTCTTTAAGGAATGATGCATGGAATACTTTTCGAGCTTCTTCTTGATTCAAAATTGGATATCTATCGATATCTGGCAGTTCTGAGCTGGTGTCTAAAGGTATGAATTCTGGTAGATCCAAAGAATAAGTTAATTGAAATTGAATCTAAATGATAAAATAAAAATAAAGCAACATTAGTGATTGCAACTGATAATTAGATACAATCAAGTCATCAATCATTTCAATATCAAATTACCGCTCGATGGATTTCAGATTTATCTTTAATGTAAACGATTTCGCGCTGACAGTCCCAGTTACCAACACGATCACTTGGAAGTGGAATGGTTTTGTTGATTATGTGAGGGTTTGCAGAATCAGCTGAATTGAACTTGACTCGATGTATAATCGGTTTCTCTAGAAAAATGAAAACAAAAATGTAAAATGATTATAATGAATGTAAACATTGATTCAAATTTTAGATAAAAGAAAATAATGAAAAATTTACTTTCAAGAAAACTTTCAGCTTCAATCACATATCTTAGCTGAAAAGTGCTTCTTCCTTTAGGTGAGTTCAACAATTGAAAGCAAGGTTGAATAACAAAACAGGGAAACTTTGAGCTTGGATCTTCATCGCAAGTAGTTTTATTTGGATTCAATCGAGTTATATTATCAACACGAGTGGCAATGTTTAATATTGGACGAGCTCGAAGAAAAATGACCTGAAAAAAAAGAGAATGTTTCATTAATAAAAATGTCTGTTTGGCGTTTCATCAATAACTTGAACAATATGATTCTGGAAACTTGTTTGAAGGATATCATTCAATGTTATGATTAACTAATTTGGATGAATAATACTTACAGCATCAGTTTCATAGGCTCCAACAAGTAAATCTGGATAACCATTTTTATCCATATCAAGAGAACCTGTTTAAGGTTAAAAGAAGTATAAATAAACAAAAAATGGTTAACCTTGATCGGAAATATGAGATCATCAGAGACATTGATAATGAATTTCTGCACAGAAATGTTGAAATTTCCGTTTGTAATGGTTACATACAGCTAAAAGAATTGATTGTTGCATTGAAAAGAAATTTAAACAAAGCGATGAGCAATTCCATGAAATGAAGTAAAAGAAGTTGAAGATTTTTCAATTGATTTAACCGATTTCCAAGTCAACAGAATCCAACAAAATCACCTTTGATTTAGTCTCAAGTAAAATTAAATCAAGAAACTACCAACAGAAATTTTTTATCCATGTAACATATATTTGATGCTATTGATTGAATTTTCAACAAATAAATAATAACATCTTTGGAAGTCATTTTCATTCACAGGTCAATGGAATTATGATGATGATTAAGATGCTGCGTTAATTGTTGGTTACTAAGAAACTATTGTTAACAATCAGCTAAAACAAAAAGGTGTGTTACATTCAATACAAGTGAAACTGAATTGTTGAATTGAAACATCTGTTGCGGTGAAAGATAGACAAAAAAATTAGGTTTTTCGATGCGTTGATTGATGAATGATATTGAAATAGTAAAACATACCATAAAACCTTTTTTCAGTGATCTGATAATTCTAGAAGTAAATTTGTTCAAATTTCATGACCAATTATGCTGATTTATTACAGAGTCGAAATAGCAATGGAATTGATTTAAATGATACTTATGCCGATAAAAATGTTATTAGACAATTAAATAGATAACTTAGAAATCAGTTTGGCAATTGAACGATCATTGCCGAACTGATAATCGAAAAAGAAGCAAGAAAAATGATAAAATATTTTCCAAGTTATCCTTTGACTACTTGTTTGTTGTTTTACAGTTGAACTCGACTCGTAAAGTCTCATCTTTTAGGCAAAAAGCCAACATCAATAGATGAAAGTCACTAATAAACAAACTAGCAAAAAGTAAGGTGTGGATGAAGATGAAGAGTAAGATGAGATGAAGACATTTTTCATCAAAGTGTTTGTACAAATGTTGAATGTTGGCAAAAAGTGAAATTCATCAAAATGACGAATCAAATGAAAAGTTAACAAAAAAGTAGGTCACAAATTTTACAAGACCAATTATCATTATAACTAGCTTGTCTCAATTAATTTATGCACACTCAACTGAACAAGCAAAGTTGAAAATACAACTATTACATGATAAGAGTAAATTGTTTCAAAGTTATGCTAAAACTAAATTAACAAACGTTCAAATTTATGACCTAAAGATGTCTAGAACAATTAAGGTTCTTAATTGTTTGCGATCAAAGGCTTGATATAAAATTATGTGGAAGGTGCAAGTGTGACCATCAAAATAAACTTCCGGTCTAACCAAATTTCTGCTGCTATTTATAATACATTTCAATATAATCTACCAAGACATCTAGGTTAACATGAGAAAGTGGCAGATGAAAAAACAAGATGAACCTCAAGTATCTTGAGTCATTTGTGTGTTGAAGGAAATAGAGAAATGATGATTCGATAAAATTTGAAAACATGGAAATATGATTTCAGCTAATTGAAAAATTATAAATAAATGGTGAAATAATCAAATATTGGAATAAGCTTGAGATACTAAAACTAAATTGATGAATTAAAAACAAGCATAAAGTAAAGGATGTAAAGTTTACCTGAAAGTGAATAACCAAAGGTTCGCAATGGCGCTCGTTCACGTAACAATGGGCTAATATCTTCACCTTTAATCACTTGAACTGCATTTGTTTTAATGCCATTAGGTGAACCTAAATAAATGTAAATTGCTCCACCGCCTTCATCATAAGGTGCACCAACAACTAGATCATTGAACCCATCCTTTGAGTAGAACAGGAAAAAAAAGTAAAAAACATTGACAATTCAGAATTATTTTTACCAATAATTAATATTAAATTTTAGTTAGCTGTTAATGTAAATGCTAATTAAATATTAAAGTTGTTAACATCTTACTTTGTTAATATCACCAAGATCAGCTAATGCCCAACCAAACCTTGAATCCTGTTTACCAAGAAGACGTACATCATATTTGCTATCAATACCTTTACCTGTATTATAATACAGGTAAACAGCTCCTTCGGTTGAACGAGTAACATCATAATAAAAAGGTGCTCCAACAATTAAATCTGGTTTACTGTTTTTTGGTAAAATGTAAGTGTTAATAATGATAGCTTTTTGGCCATAAAAATTATTTACTTGTCATTTTGCAGATCCATTGAAAGAAGGGTATAACCAAAGGATGAAGCAAATTTTTCACCACTGAGTATGAAGTCAACTGTGAAGTACGAGCTTTTGATCTTGGAGAAGAAAATAACTTGACCTGTTGAAATGATAATTGAATTAGCGCAATTGTGATTGTGTATTGATTAATCTTCACTTACCAGTTCCATTTGATCTTGGAGCTCCACCAACAAAGCTCATTTTATTTCCGAAAAATTTTCCAGATATCACAGACATTCCTAAAAATAAAGAAACAAATAAGCATATTAATATACAATTGAAAATTTCCGTTGGTTATTATTATGCATTTAATGATTTAAGCAATAAACAATTTTTATTGTGGTGGGAAAAAAATCAGTGAAAAAATCATATTCCTCTCTAACTCTCAATCTTAATTGATGATCAGAAGCAAAGGGTGAATACTAATTTATCTTGATTAAATTCATTGAAAAGTAGGAATGATAAGTAGAAGAGTTGATCACTTGACATAGTCAATCATATATTAAGGATTAAGGGCCAATTTATAGAATTAATTAGGATAAACTGCATAAAATGATTAACAATAATTGATGGTAAATGGTAATAAAATTAGGATTGATATGAGAAACTAGTTACTCAACTGGAAAAGTTAGGGCCAATTTGATGGTATGATGTTACATAAGCTCAAGAGCTTTTCAGCTTAAAGCTTGTATTGATACAATCAAATCAGTCTAGCAAGCTTTTTGGTTTTGTTATGGTTTAAGAATCACTGAGAAAGTGAAAAAAATTGAAAGGCAAAAAAAAGGTTGCAGGATGCTGATAAACAAGTAACAAAATGACTTGAGTTGAGTTGAGACTTGTTTTTAAAATGAAAGGACCTAAACATTTTTGACAGTATTCATCTTCATCTCTGATTTTTGTCACTACTTTACATATACAGGAAAGAAGACTTGAAAGTGTCTTGGAAGGAAAATGACAAGATGAATGAAAAGATGTATTGGGTCAGTTGAAGTGTAAAGACCAGAAATTGAATGACAAATGCATGATATTATAATTGGATTAGATTAGTCATATTGATGCCAATTTTGGTAAAATTTTGAAAATAGTTTTTAAACACACCTAAATAACTGTATTTATCAACTGGAGTTTCTGGCTCTTGAAGTTGCCCGGAATACCATGTTTTGTCATCACGAAGGTCGAATCTGAATGAAGATGGGAAAAATTTTGAGTTGATTTTACCATTTGTATCAATAAATGATAATGAAAATCATACTTTAATGAATTGGTGAAAATGGTTCCTCTCCATGTATAAGGTCCAGGAGCACCAATGACCAGATCATTTGACGATGAAATATCAACACTAGTTCCAGCTTGACAGAATCCTGATTGACACATAACAAGACACATTAATTGATACACATTGATAAATGTTTTTAAAGTGAGACATACCATACTCTTCGTGGCCTTTTTTAACGGGTCGATTGTAACAAGGTTCCCATGCTCGATGAAGATCGAGGTATTGTGTTAATGAATAGCAGATACCTCGACCCCAGTGGTAGTCTTTACCTTGTTCAGCGTATCGATGGGCACAGGTCTGATTAAAAGATTTCACCAGAAAATCAATGTTATGTGAGCAGTGAACAAAAATGGTTTGAAGAGATGTTAAGGTTGAAGTTACTCACCACTACTTCACCTCCTGGTCCAGCACTTTTGACAGTAACACCTAACCATTGATCATTTTTAAACTCTTGTTCTCTTGGTGGAACTGCAAATCAAAATTGACATTTTATTTCTAGACATATTAGGTTATAGTAATCACTTACGTAGATTTTTAGGATCATAATCAACAGCAATTACTGTACAATCGTTTAAATTATTTGTTATTTTACATTGATAAAGGTTACCAGATCGATTGGTACCGGGTTGAGCGGATTGACCTCGAGGGGCACCAACTAAAAATCTGTGAATGAGCAGAGATAACTAGCATTAATCGTTTGTTTCATAAAAACCATTGTTAACAATTTTCAATTGTATTACCTTATTTGTGTAGGAACAAACTTACGGCAAGAAAAGAGTAGATAAAGTTTATAACAGGAAGACGACAAAAAAATAAAGAAACTTACACAGGTGAATCGAAATCAATTAAATGCTCGGCCACCGAATAGCCAAAATATGATCCTTTTGGTCCAATTTTAATGTTTGGTAGACGAGTGTCCAAATTAAACGAACTGATTAGTTGATTGACCAGGAGTAAATAGTATAAAGGTAAACTAAACCAAGGATCATGAAACATGATTAACAAAAGGTGAACAAGTTATTGCACAAGGTACGATCCTTTACCGTGGTTGACTGAATATAACCAGAATCCAATCAGTTTTGATGGAGAACAATTAAGAAAAAACAAAAATTAACTTTTTGATTAGTCAAAAACATAGTAACTTTATTTAAAAGTTACAAGAACCAAGAAAATTGGTGTAAAAAAAAAGTCAAGTGGAGAAGTGAAAATGAAAACCCAAAATGAAGTGAAAAAAAAATATTTCAACCAAAGATGGCGCATCTCAACAATCGATAAATAATCAGAGTCATCTAGTTTCTCCCATCATAACTAAATAAGCCGTCAACATTGAAAGGTGTAGGAGGAAAGGCAAGAAAAGAGATGATTTTTGATCAGAAGATAAATTTTCTTTTCAATTTTGAATCAGAAAAGATTTTCATTTTTCATAAATAATTTTACTCCAGAGATAGGTTGGAGTCAGAAATAAGAGGTTATTTGAAAGCAAGAGAGTTGAACAATAATAACAGGAGAGGTAAGTAAGAGCAAAAAAGCTTACCAGTGCTGGCCATCTTTTGGGATCTTGAGATCAGTAGGAAATTAAGGTAAATTGCATGTTCAGGATACAACCAAGTGGCACAAAGGTAGAAGGTTATTGTACAATCCAAAACAATTCAAAAAACGATTAAACTCTTTTGATAAACACCAGATTTTAATCAAAAATTCAAGACAATCATAAAAGTGACCTTTCGAATTCGGCTTCTTTAGTTAGAATGGGAAAAACTACTAGATAAATAAAAATCAAAGGTAAAATGGGCTCGGTTTAATGTGCTCAGCAAAGAGTAATATAATTAATCTAATCATCTAAATTGTAAACAAACCAAATTTATCTTACGAGCAACAAAAGGGGGCGCTTTCCCTACCTACCCAATTTTTTATCCACCCACTAGATGACTCTGACTATCTCCGATTGTTGAAATGCGCCATCTTTGGTTGAAATATTTTTTCTCACTTCATTTTCGGTTTTCATTTTCACTTCACTACTTGATTTTGTGTTCAACAATTTTCTTGTTTCTTGTAACTTTTAAATAAAGTTACTATGTTTTTGACTAATCAAAAAGTTAATTTTTGTTCTTCTTAATTGTTCTCCATCAAAATTGATTGGATTCTGGTTATATTTAGTCAACCACGGTAAAGGATCGTACCTTGTGCAATAACTTGTTCACCTTTTGTTAATCATGTTTCATGATGCTTGGTTTAGTTTACCTTTATACTATTTACTCCTGGTCAATCAACTAATCAGTTCGTTTAATTTGGACACTCGTCAACCAAACATTAAAATTGGACCAAAAGGATCATATTTTGGCTATTCGGTGGCCGAGCATTTAATCGATTTCGATTCACCTGTGTAAGTTTCTTATTTTTTGTCCTCTTCCTGTTATAAACTTTATCCACTCTTTTCTTGCCGTAAGTTTGTTCCTACACATTTTTTCCTAAATAAGGTAATACCTATCAAAATAAATTAGGTAGGTGTCTAATGTAAGCTCAGGTAGGCGGTTAATCTGAATCTTCTTTAAGATGTTGATGTAGTGGTTTAAAAGTTATTTTTTTTTTAACCTTTTTTGTCTTTGTCTTGATTGTTCCGATTTGTGTAAACTAATAATTTAACCTGATCATTTCAGATTATTAGTTGGTGCTCCTCGAGCTCAAACAGATCAACCAGGAACAAATCGATCTGGTTACCTTTTCCAATGTAAAACATCAAATTTTATTGATGATTGTACTCCGCTTTCAGTTGATTATGATCGCAGTAACCCACGTGAGTAACTTGTTGATTAAAATGACAAAAAAAAGATGGTGGAACACACATTAACGTTGAATAAATGAATTTACAGTTCCACCAAGAGAAAAGGAATTTAAAAATGACCAATGGCTAGGAGTTGTTGTCAAAAGTGCCGGACCAGGGGGTCAAGTAATGGTAAAATCATCATCACTCTATTAATCCCTTTACCATCCAAATATTATCCCTCTCTAACCAACAGTCCTCCCTTTATCCCTTTTCCCTGACCATTTGAAAAATGAATGATTGAAATGTACCAGTGATTATCAATCAATCAAACTTTTACACACAAAAATCTGAAAATAATGACAATACCAAGTCCATTCAATCAAACTAGGTTAGGTATTGATACAAGATAAAGGACCGTTTACCCAAGCTTGTTTACACAGTCCAAGATAAATATGGACAGTTGACTCGTGCTGAAACACAATAGTGAGATTGGATAACACAAAGAGAGGGAAAATGTTTGTGTTGTTCAATGGCTTTTTAAAATAGGAGTCAAAGATGTAAATCAAAGGCACGAAAAACTGACTCTAGATTGAATCACAATAATTCAAAGGGCAGTAAGGTCAAAAAACATGAGGAAAACTAAAAAACACAAAAGTCGTGATTAGGTTGTTTCAATTTTTTAAATGAAAACAAATTGAGTGTGATATACATTTTTACAGACTAACCATATAATTGATGTTGACAGGCCATTCGCATTCATCTTTTATTACAACATTCATCTTCCCTCATCTCATCTCTCCTCATCTGATGACATCTTTCCTACAGACTTGTGCCCATCGATACGTTGAACAAGGTAAAGACTACCACTGGAGTCGAGGTATTTGCTATTCATTAACCCACTACCTTGACTATCACCGTGCATGGGAACCTTGTGATAACCGTCCTGTCAAAAAAGCCCACGAAGAGTACGGTAAGTCTAAATTAGTAAAACATATTTAAAGTGAACAACTGTAAAAGTGAACCAACTAAACAAATTAAATTTACTTTTTAAAACAATTAGGATTCTGTCAAGCTGGAACAAGTATCGACATTTCATCTTCAAATGATCTGCTCATTGGTGCTCCCGGACCTTATACATGGAGAGGAACCGTTTTCATCAACGCAATCAGGTAAATATTTATAAACTTGAGACAAACACAAATAAAGATTAACCAATAATCGAATCATTCATTTACCATTTAGATTTGCTCTTCGTGATGATAAAACATGGTACATGGGACGAGTTCAAGAAAAGGAGTCGCCAGTGGATAAATACAGTTACTTAGGTATGTGTTGCCATTCATTTCATCAATGTTCAGATTATCATCAGTGAGTCACAACATTGTAACACACATTTTGTCATTCATCAGTGTTAACATTACTTTTCCACTTCAATTGATCCAATACATGTTTGCATTTTTTTCTCATCTTTTTTTTCATCTTCCTTTACATCTTTCTCTTTTCATCTTCTCTTTCATCTTTCTAAGTCTTCTCAAAGCCACAACTGATACAAAGTATTATTATTTATTCCAGTTGAGGTTTAGCTTATGGTTACATCAATTTTGTATCATAAAAACAAGCTTTAAAAGTTGAAAACACAGCAAAGCGTTAATATGTTTTACTAGTACAAGAAACGCTTTTTTTGTGCATCAACAGTTTCCAAAGCAAAGTAATTAAAACCACTAGACAAGCCTAACCATACTTTTTAATCATCATACAATGTTAGCATCAAGTTATCTCCATCATAATCTATTCCCATGATTTAAAGCTTTCAAACAACGAATGTAAAAAATGGTATTTTTCATTCAAATGTTAGCAATGGATTGCTTTGTGACCTTTTTTTGTCCAAAATATTTAATCTTCTTGATACTGATAACATTGTTATTCAACTTTTACATCTAGATAAACCAAGATCGCCTTTGATCCATGGCCATCTGAGTCCTCAACTCTTGACCAAAATATTGATTTTCACTTTACAATGACATGAGTCAAAAGATATTAACAGTAAACCCAATAGCTCAATCAGTTTTAATGTTAACCCATCTTGATGTCTATATTTGATGATTACTTTGAATCTTATTTCCTCTTAAATCAACCAGAGAGTAATTAATGATTTTATCGATTAATTTTGATGATCAAAATGATAATTAACCTAACCTAACCTAGTCCGACCTAGAGCGCGACAATAAGCGATTATTTATTTGAATCTATAGCACTGTTTATTATATGTGTCCGTATAACTAGACTCTCACCTTTAATGTTAACCCATCTTGATGTCTATATTTGATGATTACTTTGAATCTTATTTCCTCTTAAATCAACCAGAGAGTAATTAATGATTTTGTCGATTAATTTTGATGATCAAAATGATAATTACGATTTGTAAATGTTCCTACTCATAAATAATTGCGGAAAAAAACAGTTTGTTTGCTTGAAATTTTCTAGATGAACATAACTATGATTTATTGTTGAAAAAATATTCTCATGGCTCATTGATATTTAATGTTTAATTGTTAACCCAAAACTAGCTTATTTAATTTAAACCTTAAAACAATTGTTTTTAATTTTACAGGAATGTCTGTTACATCAGGAAAGTTTTTTGGTGATAAAATGAGTTTTGTTGGTGGAGCTCCAAGATCAAATGGAACGGGTTAGTAACTAATTCACCAATTTTAATCACAATCAACTAGATTAAAAAATTTACACTCAATTTCCATTTCTATTTACAGGTCAAGTCGTCTTTTTTTCCAAAGAGAAAGGTTCCTTTTTATCGGTTGACCTGATACTTAGCGGTGAACAATTTGCTTCATCATTTGGTTATACACTTCTTACAATGGATCTACAAAATGACAAGTAAATAATTTTCATTGCTCAAACAGCTAACATTATTAACACTTCTGTAACCTTTCTGTAAACCCAAAAAACAGTAAACCAGATTTAATTGTTGGAGCGCCTTTCTATTATGATGGGTCACGTTCTGAAGGAGCTGTTTACCTGTATTATAATACAGGTAAAGGTATTGATTCCAAATATGATGTACGTCTTCTTGGTAAACAGGATTCAAGGTTTGGTTGGGCCTTAGCTGATCTTGGTGATATTAACAAAGTAAGATGTTCACAGCTGTCATGAAACATTGACTCAACTCTGAGCTAATTTAATTTACAAATTACCAAAATTAATTATTGGTCAAAAATAATCATGAATTGTCAATGTTTTGCACTCTTTTTCCCTGAAAGGATGGGTTCAACGATCTAGTTGTTGGTGCACCTTATGATGAAGGCGGTGGAGCAATTTACATTTATTTAGGTTCACCTAATGGCATTAAAACAAATGCCATCCAAGTGATCAAAGGTGAAGATATTAAAGGATTTGGACAAACTGGTCGCCCAATACGAACCTTTGGTTATTCACTTTCAGGTAAAGCAACTTTACGACTCTTTGTAACCTCGGCAATCTTGCTCACCTTTTTCATTAATTTCATGTTTATCTCATTCAACATGATAATCTCACAAATTGCTCAATGAGTTTATAAACATTTCCTCAGTTTCTTAGAAACACTAATTTATCTGTCATAATTTGAACCTCAACATCAACATCAATCTCAACATTTATTAATAGTTTCAAATGAGATAATTTTATATCATGTTCAATGGAAAAAATTATGAAAAGATTTTTTTATCAATTCTCACTTCAATTTACACTCAATTAATTATAATGTCCAATCAACTGAGATACAAAAATTTCTAGTTTCTGTACAAGACTCAACCAGTTTTATTGAATAACTTTTTTTCAATCAGTTTCAAGGTACTCTTTCCTTTGCTCCAATTAGTTTCCCTTTTCACCATTTCTCAGGTAAAAGGTAAATATCTAAGGTTATTAGGTCAAGAAAGCCACAAGAAAAGATGAATCCTTGTCCATTACTTTTCTTTCAACTACATCTTAAAACTCTCAATAGGAAATCTCAACAAACCTTTTTAACCATTAGTTCACTGTATGTGTTACCAGACAGTTTCAATCTCGCCTAACATGTCGCTCTTTACCTTTAACCATCTTTTACCTTTACCTTTTACCTTGGGCTAACTGTGTAAACAATTTACAATATAATTGATTATCGTTAATTTTTACCTTTCAGAATAAAGGTTAACTATTAATGTCACTATTTCAATATATTTAAACACTTCTTTCAACTGTTAAAATTGATGTTATTCATGTTTCCCTCAACTTGAACCAGACGGTAAAAACCAAGGTAAATCAGTTTTTATTGTCATTTATAAATGTGAACTGATTGATTGTTACCTACAAGTCAATATTACAAGTTAAATTACGAGTAAAAAAACAGAAAGATTTGCTGTTCAAATTCACACAGCAAGAGATCATCAATGGCTATTATTGTTGATAATTATACCATTTGAATTTGTTTTGTTGTTTCTCAACTATCGCTGAGATGTGTCTATGGTTACATTATAACATTAACATGAGATTTGAAATGCCCATCGAGCATTAAAGTAAGCTTTAAATTAGCATTGAAATAAGCATTAAAGTTTCACGCTCACTAAGATATTTCTTGAAAAAAAACGCCAGAGTCATTTGTCTCATGCGTTTGATTGCGCATAACACATTTAAAAAAAATTATTAATGTCTGTTTTCACCATAGGGTTCATTAATTATGTGTTTTCATTTAAATAATTTAGAAAGATTTGCTGTTCAAATTCACACAGCAAGAGATCATCAATGGCTATTATTGTTGATAATTATACCATTTGAATTTGATCAGCGTTAACGCAAAATTTGCGCCAAATCTGACAATTTCTCTGTGCGCTCATTTTATGGCGTCAGTGTATCATTCGACTGGGTAAGCTTTAAATTAGCATTGAAATAAGCATTAAAATGCTGTTTTAATGCCATTACCTTATGGATTCTCATTAGTTTATTTGCTCTTGAAATGACAAATCATTTCTCATTACCATCATCTTCAATGAACAAAAAAACCGACTTTTGTTTCTCGAACACAAAATTGCTTTCAATATTGTATTCAAAATTACCTTTATTATGTTGACTCTGTTAGGCAAGTTCAATATTGATGAATAACATTAGTCTAACTGTTGAAAATGTTGTTGTAAAAGGGAGATAAAATGTTGAGGTTGTAAAGGTAAAAGATGAAAAAAAGGTAAAGATGTTCAATAAAAAAAGTTGAAAGATGCAATTCAGATTATCGTTGTTTGTTGAGTAAACAAATTGTTTTTCATTTTCAATTTGTAATCAACAGTTGATTTATAATGCGTTCAAGGTGTCAATTTTTGTGTATTTGTATTGATTAACTGATAAGCCAAAAATGAGTTTGATCATTTTATCAACGATATCAAAGATTTGATCTAAATCTTAACTTTTTATCGCAATATTGATGTTTTTATTGGTCCTTTCATTTCATCTCATCTTTCCCATGCTAAACTCAATCTAAAACATTGAGTTATATCCAACAGGGAACTTGATTATCTTTTATTCTCATTTTCATTTTCATTATCATCATCAGGAACATCAATATTATCATCTTTTTCAAGATAATGTTATTGACTTTCTTCAACATTTCAACTTGTCAAAGATCTTGACTTAGGAACAAAAAATACCTCAAAAAACCTGATTTTTTGTCTTAAGATGTTTAAATTGCATCTCAACTATTCAGGTTCACTTGTATTATTGATGTAATCTTTCAATGTAACACACCTTTTTGTTTTACCTGATTGTTAACAATAGCTTTTTAGTAACAACAATTAACAAAGGATCTTAATCATCATCTTGATTTCATTGACTTATGAATGAAAATGACTCCAAAGATGTTGACACTCAATGTGTGTTAATATGGATGAAAATATTTCTGTTGATAGTTTCTTGATTGGTGGATAAATTTCAATTTTAATTGAAACTAAAGGAAAGGTAATTTTGTTAGATTGTGGTGATTCCGTGACATAAAAAAATCTTAATTAAGTTTTTATTTATGTGAATTAATTGCATTTAAACTTTCCTTTTTTTCTGGTTTCTAATTTTCTGCTTACCCAAACTTACCTTTTGTGTTGCTTTTACCTGCAACTTTGCTTTGTAATTATTGTATGATTTAGTGAAAGTTTACTCAATTTTAACGTTCACAATCAACTTTAACAAGGTTTGCGGTTATTTGTAAATTATTATAATTATAACAATTATAAAAAAAGCTTCTTGAATTAACTTGTTACTTTAAAACTGTTTTTTGCTCTTTGTTATTATCATGTCAAAAGGTAATAGCAGATGAAAATTATGAAAATTAAGGTGAAAGGTTGAATGTAAATATGAATCTTGTGTCTATAAAATATTTAAACTTTGACCTGATGTGAACAAACAAATTGCATTGCTGTTAATTCACTGTATATTGATTAACACTGGCCAGATTTGATGATTATTTGAATGCCAATAATTATGATGGTTGATGGTTTGGGATGAAACTTGAAATGCTAATCAATGGGCAAATGATGAAAATGACCTTCTACCTTTGAATTGTTATCATGTTTAAATTTTGGACAATTAATCTTGTCTAGTTTAACACAAGAAAATGAGACAAAATTTAGCCTGGAGCGAATCTTAGGTCATTTCAAATGCTTCTAATGCTACAAACTTTCCTTTCCATTTTACTTTCTTTTCTTTCATCTTTATCTTCTTCTCTCCCTCTTTCATCTTCCTGCTTTCTCTTTTTACCTGAAAGAAGAAGAAAAAAGAGGGAAAAAACAATCTTCCAAAATGTTAACAATTTTGGGTTAAAAACAGAAGAAACTGACCAAACAACCTTTCCATAAAGTCCCAAAGTACTCTTGAGTTAACCTTAAGGTTACTTTACTTTACTCAAATAACCTTTCATATTTACATTTTGTCCACTCAGTTGAAGTAAAATGAGATAAAAAATTGAACCCAATAGATGAAAATCAATGTTACTTTTTAACCAGATTTCTGGTCTTTTAAGCTTAAAACCATTTCTTTGGTGAAAAATGATTATTAATGGATTAACACTGAAAATTAATAATATCATCACTTTTCTGATGAATGTGTTGAACAGTTGTTTAATTGAAACCTAATGTTAGGCCATTAAATATCGTGTGTAAATTGGCTAACATTTAGTTTGCTCATCACGCAATTTCACATCTTATGAATACAAATCCAAGCTTTCCTTTTCAAGCCCATTTAACCATAACCTTTCATTGATGCTATTGTTGTCCATCCAAGGCCAAAGGTGACCTCAGTTGAGGTAAAAGCGTCGATCTTTTCCTCTCCTTTTCAGCCATTGTTTACAACAAGCTTTCAGTTGATTTCCTACTTTTTTGGCGCCAAACGTATTCAGCTTCCTCTCTTGTTGTTTATTTACTGCTTGTAAATATTGATTGTAGTTTTACATTTTGCCCATAATAGTCCATTGTAAATATGTATTTTTTGCCAATATTATTGTATTTCAAAAATGATTGCCTTAATTGTTACTTTTCCTTCAAAGTCCATCTTAACCATTCAATGCTCATTAATCATTATCATTGTTGTTTACAGGCTCCTTTGATATGGATAAAAATGGTTATCCTGATTTACTTGTTGGTGCCTATGAAAGTGATGCGGTAAGTTTACTGTCAATATGAGAATAAACTTGCAGGTAAAATTTCATGCACCTTTGGTAACCGGATGTAAACCACATGATATTTTATCAAACATTGATTCTGTTCTCTTGACTGCCAAAGAACTCTTTCATTTTTGTTCAATAATCTTTTTTCATTTCTTTAGGCGATTCTTCTTCGAGCACGACCAATATTGAACATTGCTACTCGTGTTGACAATATAACTCAAATTGATGCCAATCGTGAAGATTGTCGCGAAGATCCAAGCTCAAAGCTCCCCTGTTTCGTTATTGAACCCTGTTTCCAACTCTTAAACTCACCCAAGGGAAAAAGCGTTCTCCAATTGAGATATGTCATTGAAGCTGAAAGTTTCCTCGAAAGTAAATATTGCTCATTAATTGGAGTATTAACTCATAATAATGTGATTGTAATTTATAATCTTGTTTTAATTTACAGAGAAACCAATTGTTCCTCGAGTCAAGTTTAATTCATCTGCTGAATCAGACAATCCTCATATTGTCAACACAACGATTCCCATTTTAAGTGATCGCGTTGGTCGGTGGAACTGTCATCGTGAACTTGTCTACATCAAGGATAAATCGGATATCCATCGATCGGTAATTTAATACGTTTACATTATTAATCAGATGCTGTCATTGATTAACACTTGATTAACTCTTGTTTAATTTCCATTTCCAACCTTAGATTCAATTTCAATTGACTTACTCATTGGAACAAGAAGAACCCAAACAACCTCCCGGAATGTGGTCAAATTTACCCGATATCGATAGATACCCAATTTTGAACCAAGAAGAAGCTCGAAAAGTATTTCATGCTTCATTCCTCAAAGAATGTCGTAAGTTGAAGTTGTTCAAACAAAACTGATTATTTACAATTTGCTTATTCTAATTATATTTTTATATCACTTTACTTTAGGAAACACTGAGCAATGCCAAAGCAATTTAAATGTTATTGCTAAACTACAACATCCAATGGATACACCATATACACAGGATAGAATCTTATATTTAGGTAATCAACTTAATCAGCAAATTAATTCAACGTTTAAATGATGGAGTTGACCTATTTTGATTACTAGAAGGCAAAACAAATAAAACAAATTGCTTGATTTATTTACACTTGAAAATGTAGAGAATGTAGAAAAGGCTGAAAATTTTTAATGATATTGCTTTTTGCTTCTGCAATCAATAGTCAACTTCACATTTCTGTCAATAATTTTATTAATTATAATTTTCTTGATTTAGGATCGACTGATGTTAATCTGGAATTGACTGTTCGTAATACAATGGAACCCGCTTATGATGCTAATCTTTACATTTACCATCCATTCATTACTTACATTGGGAAAGATCAAACGGTAATCCATTGTACAATTTAGTGATTACTTGGTGGCTGTTAAATTTATCTGCATTCAGTACAATTTCAATTACCAGTAGTCATTTCTTCCATGAATAATTAGTTATGAGTTTACCATTCATCTTTCAATGAGTTTAACAGAACAGCTTTTTGGCATTTCACTTTTTTTTCATCTGAAAAAATGATGAATAGGAATTAGAGTTGAACTAGTCGATAGACTCTCCGGAAATAAATTTCTAGTTGAATAGATGAAGAATCAGTTGAAAAGGTTTTTCTTCTCACATAAATCAATCATTTACAATCAGATATTGAAGTTATTATTGAAATTATTGTTCAAGTTGAAAATTATTCAAATAATTTGTCAGATTGATGGTTTCCAGTTCCAATTAATTAATCACTAATCTATAGTAACCCAGTTTAAACAGACTTACAATGAAATTTTGATAATAAATTAATTCTCTTGAATTTTCATCTTAACAGGAAGGTGAACAAATTGATTGTAAACCTTTCAATATAAGTCTTTTGGTTTGTTCATTGGGTAATCCATTCAAACGAGGAGAGGTAAGTTAATTAGACAAATGTAATTAATAAGACTGATTAACTAATTTTCTTCTCTCTTTTTCTTTAGGTTAAATTGAATCTGAAATTTGATCCAAAAGATATAACTGAGTCACAGAATGATGTTGATATAAGAGTCTTTGTGAATACGTCGAGTGTTGATTTGAATCAAGCTAAAAATGACATCTCAACAAAGTTATTGGTTATCCGTCGAGCTGACTTGGAAATTAAAGGTTCTTCAGATCCAGCCGGAGTTTGGTTTGGTGGTGAAGTTGTTGGTGAAGTTGCAATGGTTAGTAAATATCATATATCAAATGTATAATAATGATGACTGAATGAATCTATTTAAATAGGATGAAAGGCTGACATTGATTGGTTGTGGAATGAATGAAACAAAATGAACTTTAATTTTCAATGTTTGTCTTGTGAATGGAAAGAGAAGCAAATGTGACATAATAAATTAACTAATGAATTATTTGTTTATCTTATTTAACTTGAAATCTGCAGAAAACGTCTGATGACATCGGAAGTAGAATTGAACATTCCTATACAATTATATCAAATGGACCTTATCATCCAAAGGAATTAACTGTTGAAATTGATTGGCCTTATTCACTTTCCAGTGACAAAGAAGAGGGAAAATGGTAATTTCGCGTTTATTGTCTACTATTTGGTTCATCATCCATTAATAATGTCATTCATTTCATATTTTCAGGCTTCTCTACTTAATGAATACAATTGTTGTACAGGGTAAAGGTCAATGTGTACCAACACTTGGTACAGTTAATCCACTTAAAATTTGGGTAAGGTTATCATTATGCTTTCATTGGTTTAAACTGGATTTATAATATAAATTATTTCAATTATTTATGATTTATTCACAGGATTCTGAATCAGTCTCGATAAAAAGTGACTCTTTTGTTAAATCAAGACCAAAAAGGCAAACCATTGTTCCAGCCAAACGTATAATGGAAGATGGTAAAAGTCAAAATGTAGTTGTTTTAGTAAGTAAATGATTTTAAATTATGCTTTTGATAAATTATTTTAATTGAATATATCTAATACTTGTCATTAATTTGAATAACAGGATTGTCAAAAAAAGACGGCTCGTTGCTATAAATTTTTATGTTATCTTCAAGATCTCCGTCCAGGAGTGCCATCAGTAAGTTACATTGTTTTACATTGTTTTACATTGTTTGATTCAAATTTTTCTATTCCTCTGAATTGTCTTAAATAATATGAATTTTTTATTTTTATTTTTAAAGGTAATTGTGTTCATAGGTAGACTTTGGAATTCAACTTTTGTTGAAGATTACGCTTCAGGTGTTAATCAAGTTCATATTTATTCACGAGCAAGGTTAGCAATTGGACCTTCAATCAGGCAAAATCGGACAAATGATGATAGTACCTTTGTAAGTTTAAGCTATTTGATTATTCTCAATCGCAATTAGTATTTAAATTAGCTAATCAAATCTTTTTCTTTTCATCATTTCAGGCAATAACTAAAGCTTATCCAGATTTACCTTTACTGCCACCACCGAGGGTTCCTCTTTGGATCATAATTATGTCTATACTTTTAGGAATATTGTTACTTATTTTGTTAATCATTGTCTTATGGAGAGTGAGTATTATCCGTCAAAACTCTGATGTTCCTGGTCTATTGACAATTTGAATTCTAATTGTTTTTTCTCTTGTTCCTTTTTCAGTGTGGATTCTTCATCAGACGAAAACCTGGTTATTTGGCTGCCCCGGTGGAAGATAAAGATTTTGACGATTATAATTAACTCAATTTTTAACAAATGTCTCTCAGTCCTTCGCTTTTGCTATCTAAAACTTAATCAAATTTTTAAGTTAACTTTTTTGCAATTCTAATATAGCTTTTTATTTTTCTATTTGACTATCAAATTTTATCAATAAATAAATAACTTTATTCGCCTACAACTCATTTTATTATTCATTGCCAATAAAATTACTCCTTTTAATACAAAAGTAATTTACAATCTTACGTCCCAGTCGAATGATACACTGACGCCATAAAATGAGCGCACAGAGAAATTGTCAGATTTGGCGCAAATTTTGCGCTAACGCTGATTAAATTTCAAGCAAAAAGATTCCTCCACCCAACCTCGATCCCACTCACTCAATTAATCATGTCCATCTCCTTTAACCACTGAACTATGAAAATTATTAGATAGATATAATATAATTAATGAGGTCTATCGTGAAAACAGAGATTAATACTTTTGTTTAAATGCGTTTAACACAATCAAACGCAAAAGACAAATGACTCTGGCGTTTTTTTTCAAAAAATATCTTGGTGAGCGTGAAACGCGGCTCAATGTAGCAGTTTTCATTCGACTGGGGTGATAATCTTACAAGAATCGTTCAAGAATACTTGCTAGATTTAAGTCGATCATCTGAATGGAATACTGATTATATTTACACTTCAGAATACTTTATAATCAAAAGGTGGTTATCACTCGCAATTAATTCTAAACACGATCAAATACTCTGATAATATTACATTTATATTTTTAATTTTACTATCAAGATTAGGTTGAATTTGAAAATGTTAGCTATTCGTATTCGGTTTAAATTTAATTTAGAACCAGCCAGAGTAATTGAAATTAATGATAAAAGCTGTTAATGTTGACAATTAAACATAGAAGCTCCTAATTGTTAAGAGATTTCATGATTTAAAATATTATAGTTGGCGGTCTTTTTTGTCTTTTATTCAAGCCAATAGAGAGCGTAAATGCGATTTGCCTGCATAAACGATAAACACGGCTGTCATTGATTGACGATTAATTCAATCAATTTGATTGTTGTCATTTGAAGTGTTTTATTATTTTATCTTACTTTCTGTGAATTTTGTAAATTTTGTTAATGTTGATTAGTTAATTTACTTTTCTTTATAAAAATGTTTAGCAGATCTAATTCAATGAATGTTACAGGACAAGAAGATGCTCCTTGGCTTTTCTCAACTTTGGCCCGTGGAGTGTCAACTGTTGCTGGCTTGTGTAAGTTGTGTCATCACTATTCTCATCGTATTCACCGGCGTTATTTTTATCTCATTTTATGGTAATTTATCTTATTTTTGCGCTTCTAATTTGCCTATCTTCTTATTGTTCTTTCTTGCAGTATCCATATTCTTTGGTTTTTGGGCAATGATCGGATTTGATTTTGGATGTTTACTTGCTGGTATTTTACTTATGTAAATATCAAATTATTAATATGACTCACTATTTTCCCTTTTAATTTGATATTCTTTGTCAATTAGAGAGTCACATACTTTATAATCTAACATATTCTTTATACTGTTTATTTGCTCAGTTGTGAAGGTCTACTTGTTACACTTATCGAATCACCTTGTCTATGTGTCTTTTTGGACTTTGCTTTGATTCCAAGTCGCTTCTATGAAGGAAAACCTCATTGGTGGAAAGCTGTTTCTTATGCATTGTGAGTTTATCCCGATAACGACTTCAGTTCATTGAAACAAAATTTACAACTTGTTTTCTTTTCATTAGATTTGCGGTAATACCATTCTTCATTTGTCAAGGGTTTTCCACTATACTATCCTGCTGTCTGTTGGCTGCAGCCTCGGCTAGCTACCTAGTCTTAAGTTTAGGAAAAAAGTAAGCAACTCTATTCATTCTTGTACAAAAATTTTTAATTGATTCCACTTTCGTTTATTCTTTCACAGAGCAAGTTTAGAGGAAATGAGAGCCAAAGCAATGTCAGAGAATCCAAGTGCCATTTTAGTGAATAATGAACTTGCAATTGATAAATCTGGACCTGCCCAATTCTCTCCGTCAGTTGCTTTAGGTGACATGAGAAATCAACAACCGACAATTGTTACTTATTGATAGATGAAACACATTTTAAATTGACATAATGAGGGAGAAAATCACCTTTATCAAATTATCGCCTTTCTCAGCTGATGTGATATTTATACATACATATTTATAATTAATTATTTAATAGAGAACGAGAATAATATTGATATCATCTCAACCTCTTTTTAATCCATCCTCTCACCTAATTTTTTTCCTCTTTAATATGATTCTCATTGTTTCTTAAACCCTTGTAATCAGCTATTCCAGTTTGGTGGAAATTAACTTGCTAACCTTTTATTTACTCGTTCTTTCTTTTCTTCTCATCAATACATCAAATCATACTAGATTATTCATTCCATTAATTCCTATCATCAAAAAATTTTGGTTATACGGCGGAAAATAATGAAATTTCTTTTGAATTTTACCTCTCATTGCTCATCTAAACAACGCCTATTACTTTCAATCATAAGTTATGCTTAATCATCAATAATTGTTTACATCCAACCTTATCTTCTCGATATGAATAACAGTAACTTCAAACGATTATCACCTTTATTTTAGATTGAGAAATTAATCCGGTTATAACCATTTATGGAATTCAAGCTTTTGAGAATCCTTCGAACCTCCATGATTTAACTTGATAACAGTACATGAATCAAGGAATGGACAAAACAATAGTTGTAAAGTTGTATTTTACATAGATGATAATTTATTTTAGAAAGATGAGTTTTGTAGTTCTATGAGATAATAAAATTCCCTTGAACTGGTTTTATTGATTAGTTTATCAGTAATAAGCTAAATTTTGAAAGATTTCGTTCTGCAAGGAAACTTTGAATATTACATTAGTTAGACCCAAACCTAATTGAATTATTTTCTGGACTATAAGCATCTTTGTCTTCAAATCAATGCATTGCATGTTTTATTTCATGAGACCTTTTATTTATTGAATGCGTATCAATAATTAATCATAGATTTGAATAAAATGACTAATCAGAGTTACAATATGGGACACTGTGTTTACTGTAAGTTGTAAGTATTGAACGGTTGCTAATTATTTCATGCTAGTTTGTAAATAATCAGCTATGAAATTGTATAATTGATTAATTTTATACGAAACGAAATCAAAATAAACCATTGAGCACCTCACTGTTGAAGTAAAACTGTGTAAAAATTAGTATTTTTTGTTTACATCGAGCCTCTATCTTATTATTGATATTATATCTTCAATTGCTTTATACTCTGTCTGCTTATGAATAGATTAATAGTGAAACCTAAATCTAATTGGTCAACGAGTTATCCAAATTAGATTTTAATAATAAATAAGATAAGCATATCTTTAATAAATCACAAATAATCAACTTGAAAGGAAATGAGAAAAAAGATCCAATTAGCATTTTTAAATAATTGAAGCAGCTTGTTACAATTAAACATTAAGTTGATTATTAACCTCAAAGGTATAGGAAATATTCACAGATCAAAGGTTAATCTTTAGCAATTACTTTTAATTGTATCAGCTAAAACACTGGACAATTCATTAATCAGCATAATTGTGTATTCACAATTTGTTGTTTGACTTGGTATTCAGTAGATGGCGGTGAAAAACTGGTAAGTAAACTGGTAAATTATCGATGTTTTTTTGCATGTTGAAACATGTTAACATGATTCAGAAGGATGGAGAGGATGAGGATGAATGAAATAGAGATGTTGATAGCAGTGATATGGTTGATGGTGGAAGCGTGATAAATTTGATTGTTTGTTATTTAAAGCAAGATGTTTCCAATTTAATGTATCAATTTTGTTTAACACTAATCATTTTTCTTGATGTGGTTGACAGTCTTTGTTAACAGTTAGATCTCAACCTTTTTTTTCTATTTAATTTTTCCATTTTTTCTTCGACATTTTTACAAGTGTAACAAATTTACCAGTTTACTCATCTCTAACGGTTCTATCTGTGATAAAGAAGATCCAAACACCGCCACTACAATCAAGATGAACATAAGATCTTTTGGCAAAGCTCTTGTTCGACGAAAAAAGATAGATGACAATCAAGGACCAAGTACATTGAACCGATGTTTAGGAACATTGGATTTAACTGCCTTAGGTAAGTCTTAGATAATCTTTTTGTGTTGTTAGATTGATCTATTTTTCATTTCTTTCTTTCTTTTTTCCTTTCCAAATAAGGTATTGGAAGTACCTTAGGGTTGGGAATGTATGTGATAGCTGGAAAGGTTGCGAGTACAGAAGCTGGTCCTGCAGTGGTTTTATCATTTTTCTTTGCTGCTTTGGCTTCCGTTTTTGCTGGATTTTGTTATGCTGAATTTGGTGCTAGAGTTCCAAGAGCGGGTTCAGCTTATATCTACAGTTATGTCACTGTCGGTGAATTTACGGCATTTGTGATTGGTTGGAATTTGATACTCGAATATGTGATTGGTACAGCTTCAGTCGCAAGAGGATATAGTGGATATTTAGATTCTCTCTTCAATGGGACAATAGCAGCAAAATTAACAGAATTGATGCCCATAGGAATCTCACACATGTCTGCCTATCCTGATTTCTTAGCTTGTGGGATAACGCTGCTCCTAACAGGTAACCTTTTCACGTGCTTTTAATCTTTGCTAATTTATCTCTGATACCCAATTTGATTTTTCTATTCCCTAGTCATGCTCGCAATTGGTGTAAAAGAATCGACTAGATTCAATTCGGTTTTTACTTTGATTAATTTATCTATTGTCATATTTGTGATCGTTTGTGGATCATTTAAAAGTGATTTCAAAAATTGGAAAATTCCTGAATCATCTGTTCCAAGCGGAAGCGGTACTGGTGGATTTTTACCTTTTGGTTTCTCGGGAATGATGGCAGGAGCTGCCACTTGTTTTTACGGTTTCATTGGCTTTGATATCATTGCCACAACCGGGGAAGAAGCACGAAATCCACAGAAGGCTATACCTATCAGCATTGTTGTTTCTTTACTGATAATATTTTTCGCATACTTTGGGGTTTCCAGTATTCAAACTCTCATGTGGCCCTATTATGATTTAAATAACGCAGCTTCGCTTCCATATGTTTTCGAAAAACAGGGTTTACCTTGGGCCAGATGGATAATCACAATTGGAGCTTTAGCTGGACTTTCCACTAGTTTAATGGGAGCTATGTTTCCATTACCACGAGTTTTATATGCAATGGCCACCGATGGGCTCATCTTCCGTAATCTTGCAAGTGTAAATTCTTGGACTAAAACTCCTCTTATAGCTACTTTGGTATCAGGTTCACTCTCAGGAGCCATGGCAGCTCTTTTCGATGTTGATGAGCTTGCAGATATGATGTCGATTGGAACTCTTCTTGCCTACACACTTGTCGCTGTTTCCATTTTGATTCTCAGGTTAGTGCAATCTCTTATTCGTTTAATAAGCAATATCATAAATTACCCATGCAAACTTATCTCAATCTTGAACTGCAAAGTGAAACGACTCATTTTCTTGAAAGCTTACAATCGAGCATTTTGACTATTTACATTTGGACTTTGTTATTTAGATAACATTTACAACTGTTAAATTGAACTCTGACGTATATCGTAAAATTGAAATTATAGTTATACTGATATAATTATGGTTAATTTGTATGTTTACACAACATTAGATGATGAATAATTTAAAAATAACAACTGTCATTTTACTTTTTTAGGTACGAAGGAGATTCTGAAAAAGCTAATTTAAATGGTATTGCGAACTCTTACAAAGTAACAACCGATGAAGCTGCAAACTCATGTAACACTAGTCGATCACCAGGATTTTCAAATGTTATAAGTCATTTTATTCGACGATTATTCAATCTGGATAATATAACCTCTCCGAATTTAAAGACCGCATCAATGAGTAGACTTTTAGTATTCTCTATTTGTAAGTCTATACAAAAATACTCAGCCAACATCGATAATTCAGTGTAGTTAATAATTCTTGTTTCTCTTCAATTACAGGTGCAAATGTGGTCGTATTGGACTTATTGTTGATATTTTTAGAAGAGAATCTCAGTAATTTGGAAACCATCTCATTAATTGTTATTGGAATATCATTATCCAATCTTATCTCTCTGATAATCGCGCTTAGTCGTCAACCTAAAAGCGCTGCTACCATATCATTTCAAGTGAGTTACTGATCAAGAAATGCTTATTAATCAAAACAAGAGAAACCAAGTGAAAGTAAATTCTTTCATTTGAACATTGATTATTCTGAATCTTGTAAATCAGTTTTATCATAAAAAGTTGCAGTCATCAATGTATGACACAAATGACGATGAGATTATGGTTAAAGGAAATGTCTCAAATGTTAATTTGTCAAAGTTAATTTACTTGATTACGCTAGTTTTATATCAAACCATATTTACAGCAAGGACAATGTACGACATCTGCTAATAACATGTTCGAGGTTCACTCAATTGTTTGATTTATTTATTTAAGAGGTTGGAGTGAAAAGGCTTAGGAATTTTCCACTGATCTCAATTTCTCTAATCTTTAATGTTTATTCTCTTCTCCCTCTCTCAATTTTCAGGTTCCATGGGTCCCATTAATTCCAGTTATCTCAATTTTTATCAATATCTATCTCATGATGAAACTTTCAGCAATAACGTGGATCCGTTTTGCAGTTTGGATGGTTATTGGTGAGTTTGTTGTTTGACTATTAAAAAGATAGCCTTGGAAATTGCTTGTCCTTTTCAATTTGCTTCTCATTTATTATTAATTCCCATTCAAAACTAACACAAGAAAAAACATTGTTAGCTTGAAAATCACTTTACAATCCAACTTAAATATTTGCATGAATTTTCTCTCGATTTCTCTAACATTGCTTTAACTTTCTAACCATTAGATTTGAGAATTGTTTCCTTTAATTTTATCATTTGTAATCTTTCTTCCTTTATTTGCTTTCCTTAGTTTAAATCCATTATCCAGCATAAACTTTAATTTTGATCAAGATTCTAATTCATTTCTATCTATCTCTTTTCTCCAACATCATAGGCTTGTCAATATACTTTCTTTACGGTATTTTTAATAGTAAAGAGCGAGTTGAAAACCAATCTTTCCAGCTTACACCAAAGAATCTTAAATCGAAAGCTCGCACAATCGGTTAACTATGTTGTCGGTCGACTATTGTTAATCAACTTGCCAGACTGATAACACTTTTCAGATTGTCTTATCCTGCTCATCGATGTTCTTTTCTTTATTTTTTCTTTGCCTTCCTTTCATCATCGATTGATCAAAGATTACAAGATGCCGTTCATCATGATGACAGACCAATCCGGCTCAATCATAATGCATAATCTCTCCTAATGATTGTGATTGACTCGTCTAATTATGCCTTTCAATCTTTTTACAACCCATTCAATAAAAGTTAAATATAATTTATGCTTTTATTGGATGATCAAAACTATCCTAAGTTAGGTTTACTTTTTCCTTCACGTTGTGTTCAAACCTTAAAACCAAAGGCTTGTCAATGTAACCTTCATTTCTTTGCTTTTATCTATTGTTTACCTTTCATTTAATTATTGTAACAATTCTAGTCACACTTTTTTGTTGTATCTTCAAGCCTAAAATAATCGCAATTATGATTCTAGTTTGTTAACTAACTAGTCAACAAAATAATGATCCAGCATTTGAACAGTCTTTTGTTTCTTAAAAAATCAACAAATTGGATCCATTTGATACTCTCAAATCAATCTAATTTCAACTCTCTTTTTGTAAGGAAACCTGTAATTAACTTTCATTATTTGAAAAAATTAATATATAATACTTTAAATAAAAATAGTCTCAATTTCATTCCATTTTCACCGTCTTTATAAGTAAATCTAAATTGTCAATTCTGATTGTCTAGCTGAATCTCAGAGTTTAACTTGAAATTGAAATCTATCCAATGTATCGATGTTTTACCCAATCCAATCACAAGTTGAACATCTTTAAATTGCTTAAAAGTAAATCATTGTCATTTAAAGTAACTATAATTGTCTTATGTGATTCTGATTTCATTGTTCGTTCAATGACTTCTTCTGTCAACTAGATTATCATGAGTACAAGTTGATTAACCTTGAATGTAAAGCACAATCAACAGTAACCATTGTTTATATTAATAGTAGCAATCACTCGAGATTACTCTTACACCTAACTTTCGCCTCTTTTAGCTCATACTTATGATTAGAATCAAATTTCACTTTTTTTCGTCTTCTAATTGTTGAATTGTCTCATTGCAGCTTACAATTAACATGTGAACTCGATGAGCGCACATGACAAACGTCAAAGCTAAATTATCATATCTTGCTTTAAATATAGTCATCTCTGTCAATCTTACACGTGAATCTGTGAACATGATCAGAACGTGATGAAGTTGCAGCAATTAAATGATGAAGGGCAGAGTGAAAATGTATTTAATTGTAACAATAAAAAATATTAAATTTTAAGTAAATGGTTCACAAGTTAATTTAGATAATACAAACGATAAACAATATTTTACCTTTGATAATTCATTTCTGTTATTTTTTTACTTCAATTTACAATTTTCCGTTTAATGCTTATTTACAGGTTTGAGCATTTATCTGTTTTATGGAATCACGAATAGCACTGGTTTTTTGACTTATGCCGAGCGTAGTCGCGTTTTAGGCACCGATTATTTCATTTATAATGGCGATCACAGTATGAGACCTGATTTGTCTGAGAAGACTCCACTTCTTTCCTGATTCACTGGTTCTTTCCATATCAGGATAATTACAGGAACAATTTTTTTGTAAATATTGTAATTAAATTGTAAATTTGTGATGTATTTTTGTACTGATCAAGCTTCTTGATTAAAAAAGCTTCCACAGACATCTAATGTGTAATGAATTGATAATATTCAAAATAAACTTACAGTCAATTGACATTTAAAAAGTTTCATGAAAAGCGTACACAGTCTTTTAAACTGTCTGGAATGACTGGTATTGCTTGAAATAATTTGAGCTCAAAGCAAGGCATTCATTAACCAGACTATGTTATGTATTTGATTTGTGTAAATTTAAGCAAATATTTTGCGTTGAAAAACTATTCATCAATCTACAGTTATGATTCTTCCCAGAAGCTTTCCAAATTAAGAGGGTTCTGCGAGGTTATTTAGATATTCAGATATTAGCAGGTGTTTACTCACTTCAATTTTCAATGGTTTGTAATTTTAATTTTGATTCAGTCAAAAGTTCGATCGGTTTTGATCGAATTTCCTGCAAGAATCTCCAGTAACAGTAGTAACGTGCAAAATTAACTTGTTTCAATTCACATTCAAAATGCTTGATAACAAATATATTTACATTGATCTCTTGTCTTGCTTTGGCTTATTTGTTTATTCAATAATTGAACTTACGTTATGATGAAACTTTTTCGCTTGACGCTTAACCAACACAAGTCAAACCACGAAAACTATCAACCCTACACTCAGCTCTCGAAGCTCTGAAAGTTTTGGTGAGAAAACCTTAGTTTTACTTGCTGTGATCATGATTTACAGTGAATGGATATTATAATCTCTGAATATATGATGCCAATGTTAAATGGCAGCAAGCATCTAGTCAGTTCAATAGCATTAAAAATAAGATCGATAGCAAATGCTGCTTACTCGACTGGCAAATTCATATTTATTGGAGTCTTTCATTCGTCCTTAATTTGTTTTCATTCATAGTCATCATGCTAATTAACTATTCCAATTCTCATTTACCTGCAATCTGGATTTTTAGCATTCTTTTTGTTGTTGGAACATCTTCCCTTTATCAATTTGTCCTTTTATGGAAACTTTCGTTTCGAAGGATCTTTCTTCGCTTATGCCTGCAGGTTAACTGCAAAGAGATTCTAGTTCTGGTTGATAGCTATCTAGGAATCCCTGCCACTCTGATTTACACCTCAAAAGATGACAATGGCAATTGTTTTACTTAATTGTCGATTGCTTTTAAGTAAGCGCAGAGCACCAGTTAATGACGAAAATCAAGTTGACGCAAATTCAGTTTTCTGAGTTTACCGTTTATCATGATTGACATTGACAGAATGATTATTTTTATCAATTATTTTTTAGTCTTCATCAAATCAAGATAATTTATGAACAGTTTGAGAAGTTTTTAATCTATCCTTAGGCCATGCGATTAGTATTTTTACTGTTCTATTCACTTCATTGTTGAGAATAATGATCTCTGAATAAGGCACTTAATCAATTATTAAGCAATAATAAGTATTGTTACAACCAATAAATTATGAATCCTGATAAATTAATTACGACTAACTATCTCAATTTTTTGCATAATTATTCGACGGGGCAACAGAAATGCTTATAAATGAAATTTTTATTTATTTTTGATTCAATGTTTTTCATTCAATTTGATAAAAGTTAAGGATTTTACATTTTAGTTTTTCAATACGAATTTGTATTTTCAATGATCTAAAAATTTTATCTCACTCGAGCAGGAGTTTGGATTCATTTGGGTTGAAATTTTGTATTACAAGATTGCCTCTTTAAGCCTTATTGAAAGATACAAATCGGCAATCTGTTTCAGCTTGGTCCATCAATGTTTGTGATAAAATCGGTGGTTAAAATCGACGTTAATCATTTTACTTTAAATTTTGGTTACAAAAAAAGAAAATTTAGGTTACCAATCAACCTCTCGTAGAGTAATGAACCTAGATAAGATGAAGGCTACTAAAATAGTAGCGATAACAAAACAAAATAAGGCATATTGGCTTCGAGTTTACGAAAAATTTCCAGCACAGCTTGATATGATCTACCAGCCATCTCAACTATAATACGACTAATTTCACGAATTCAAAACTTTAAATTTCAGATTTAGCAAGTTCAGCTTCTACTTTGGCCAATTGATCATTAAGATGATACAAAATATCGATCGTTCGCAGTAATCCTGTTTTGTAGATCAATTTTTTACCGTTTTCTGAAAAATTAATAGAGATAGATTAGATTTTATAGTTGCTAGGGGAAATAGTCAATTCATCAAGTTATACTCACTTAAGAAAAATTGTATTTCAGGTTCATTTCCATTACTAACAACATTTGTTTTGATGAAACATTCCTCGTTGGTTCTACCAATTTTTTTCCCGTGTAAAAAATGAAGCAACTCTCTGTAAAATCAAGAAAAGAGTAAAAGGCGAATTAAGTATTAGATCAGGAAATGTAAGAAAGTGTTTAGGTAGATCAATTAACAGACAGTAATAAATGGCTAGGATCTATTAGCGCATATCGGGGTAAGGTGATTGGTGAAATTATAATTACCTAAAAGAAGCAATATTAGGGTAGAAGGGATCAAATGTTGCTTGAACTTTCACAATCCTTTTAAGAGTAAGTTTTCTTGCGTTAGTGTATAGATCACCAAGAATAGGATCTCGACCTTTTCGTGGTAAAGTTAAAGCGTTTTTAGACACAAAATTATCAAAGAAGATTTTCTTTCCTGCCATCACTGAATGAGTGGATGTTGGATGAAGAAGAGAAAAGAGTAACAATTAAATTTGATGAAAAGAACAGCTGACAAAATGAACTTGAAATGTGTCTTGAGATGGAGTCAAAATTGTTGAAATACAGTTCTTTAAAGGTTGTGGTTAACTCAATCTGAGAATGATGATGAATGTAAAAGATGATTTAGAATGAAAACACATGCAAATATAAAAAGAAAACAATAGAAAGAAGAAAAAATGAAATAAATGCAATCAGAATAAATACTTAAGCAATACTAAGGAACTCACCTAAAAACAGGAATCCATAAGCTTGAGGGAAGATGAAGAGAACATAACAGTATCTTTGGTGTATTTCATGCCAATATGATTTCTTTTGAATTTCTTGAGGACACTAAATCGGTAATTAGTAAATATTAATTAGTTGTTTGGTCTAATAAACCGAAGAAAATTAATCGAAGATAAACAGAATTAGCTTGAGTTAATTTGTAAACAAATAATTTCGTTGAATATCCATTATGCCTTTTTATGCTCATAGAGCATGTCATGCAATGGCTTAATTTGCCTCACATTTTCCAGAAGCTGTCAAATCTTAGGGATTTCTTTCAATTAGTTCACAATTCGGATGAACTTCTGGGCAGGTATGGTCCATTCTCTAAGTAATTGAGATTCTGGATTAAATTTTGATGATGAACTTCGATCAAGGATTAAACTTCACTAAAAAAGATACAGCATTTTCAGATACAAATTTATTGAGCAAAATTTAGAAGCTGCTTGATTCGTTCATTAATAGTTGAATTTATTTGATTATTGTATCTGAGAATCCGATTGTACATTTTATGAAATACTTACCATTGCTTACAAAACTGATTATATATGGAAGTTTGAAAATTGCTTGATATTAACCTGTGAGGAAAAATTATGTTACAAATAGTTTTATTGGAATTCCTATTAAGTTTTATAGCTATAAGCCTGAAATTTTCAGGAAATAGGGATCAGATTTGCGTCAATACTGTATTTAAATCTGAGATCGATCCGTATCATGGTTCAAAAGTTATCCAACATTTACGATTTTTTGAAATGATCGAAAATGCTCGTAAAATTCAACAAAAATTTCCAATAATTTTTCAAACTTACACTGCGGGGCGTTTTAAAAGCATGAAGTTCCAAAATTAACACAAATTGCAACCTTAAGGGTCAATTAAATAATTGTGCTAATTCGGGTCGATTTGTCACTCAGAATTCCGAGCAATTAACGAAAGAATCAAAAATAATCTCAAAAAATTCAATGCTAGCTATTTTGAAAGCCTCGTGGCTAATCTCAAATTTAAAATGAACGAGGCGGATTAGAAAGGATTATCTTACATGCGAAAGAGCCTCTGATCCCTGGCTATCAATAGAGACCAACTTTGAAAATATTGATCAATTATTAATTAAATAAACGAAGAATGAACAATTTGTAACATAATTTTTCCACACAGGTTATAATAATTGGCATTAATGTTAATTTCATTTTCAAGACTAATCAATACAAATGCAAATTCAATGTTCATAATTTAAGAAATAAATTTATAAAGTTAACTTGGATGAGGTGGAGCGGAAAATATCACCGAATCATTGTACAGATAGATTCAGATGAAAAGGTGCATTACTTTTATAAATATATATAAGCAAAAGGGAAATGGTATTTTCATAAAAAAATTGGATAAAAATACAAAATGATCAGGATAAAAAGTTCATTGGTTGAATAAGTCAATAGTCACGATTCAATGGCAAATATATTTATCCATTTGGATGCGATGAGATGAAGTCGCAATGAGAATGTAACGACGATGATTAGTTAATTAAGTTTGAATAAGATGTGGTATCACATCTAATCACCATTGATGATGATAAAATAATTTATACGCTGGGATGATCTAGTTTTCCATGATTCAAATCAAAAAAAGTTAATCAGTAAAACTTATGAGATTAATAGATTTGTCAAGTCAAAAAAAATATAATGAAGCATCACAGATTTAAAAAATTGATTGAAAGGTATACTGAAATGCTCATAGACAATGGAACTAATTTTTCATAAATTATTGTTGAGCTTTAGCAGCTTCAGCTCTGAATAATGAATTGATCCTGGAGCAAATTTTCAAAGCGGGTCCAAGCTTCATACTCATAGCAGACATAAGATGATCTTCCTTAAGTAACATGAGTGCTTGTCCATCGATTTCCTGGGATTTAAATTCATCAGCATATTCTTGACATCCAGGTAAATTTCGTACAAAATCATAAACATCTTGGACCTGATGGATATAATAAAAATAAATATTAGAAAAGGGAAAATAAAATGACAATCTGTTCTTAAATGAGATTGATTAAAGAAATGGTCCAAATTAACAATACTAACATTCCATAGATTAGGATTTGTTCCGCTTGCAGGGATAAAACCTCCTTCATTTGTGTCCATGGATTCAGATGGAGCTTCAGCATTACCTCGATTTGGTGAGATATCGGTTTTTGGCTGTAAAGAGATGATTGTTTAGCATTTTTGACATTTTAATTACTACTGTAAACTCTCTTAAATTTTCACAGAATCATGTCAACTCAGTCAACATTTTCTTCCGATTCAATTTTCTATCGGATTAATTCTGAAGAGATTCTAACTATCTTGTTAATTCGACATAATAAGTGAATTGTCAGATTTATGTGGAAGTAGTCGAAATAGCTAATCCCATGATGTGATATTATGAGAGAGTTTATAGTGATTATGGAATTGTAACTCACCTTCTTAATATTATGTTCACGATTTGGACTATTATCTGTTTTTGAATCTTGAATAGATTCAACAGTAAATTTGTTCATATTTTTGTCTGGTGATTCAAAATCTTCCGTACTGACAATACTGGGAATATTTGCATTATTAGAAAACTTTTTGGCACAAATATTGGAACAAAAACGTTTAGACTTTTTCTTCTTGTTTCCTTTTGTGATATTTTTACCACAATATTCACATACAGCGTCAATTTTAGATTTCAGAGGTGCAATTGCTGCTTCCGAGGACACATTTTTACCAAGCATTTGATCATTCATAATAATTGTATCCTCTTTGTCTTTGTCTTCATCTTCATTGATTGATTCAATAATTGTTTCCTCTGAATTTGCTTCTTGAGAACCTTCAGTATTTATAGGGAATGGTGATTGACTTTCTTGAATAACAAATCCATCTATAACATGTGTTAACACACCTGATTCATTGACATAAGGTTTGACTATAGCTTTTTGTGGACTTTTTGCTCCATTTGATCTAGCAACACCATTAGTAGATTTTTTACGTCCATTATTCAAATTATTCATATCTTGAGGAGCATTGTTCTCAGAGATCACTGGCGTCATCAAACCAACATCGTTTCCAGTAGCAGCATCTTTTTTCCCGTCCACATCTCTGCTTGGAGATTGGATCATCTTTTCTTTCAGAGCATTATTTGAAACACTTCGCGCAGCCACAGTTTTATTTTTTAATTTTTCTTGGCCCTTGTTCGGAACATTTTGAGCAAATTTACTTTCATCATTAATTGCTTTAGGTGTCTGATAAGACCCATCGGTTTTATTGGCCCCCATCGGATCTGTCCCCATTGTACTGGTATTACAAGAATTATCTTGAGAAATCATCTTCTCACTGATTGATTGTGCAGCCAATGGATTATTAACTTGAGGGATCAATGTAACAGTCATAGTTTGACGTGCCTCTGATCCTTGTTTCTCAATTGGTATTTTATTTGTTGAGCTTTGAATGTTTTTATTTGACTTTCCTTTCGAGACATTCATTGATGTTGTAGTAGAAGTATTATTAGTAGGATGATTATGAGTAATTATTGGAGTTAATGTTTGAGATACAGTTGTTGAAGGAGCTGATGTAGATGTTTGTGTACCAATAGATGACTGAACTATGGCGGGTTTTAAATTTTTATATCGATTTGTTGTTGGCGTATGTTGAGTTGCTGGTGCAATCATACATGTTTGCCCTTTATTTATCCCTGATTGGGTTGTATTGGTGGCAGTGTGAGAATTATTTGAAGAAACTGATATGACCGAAGTGCCACTAAGAGAATTGCTACTAACAAAGGCTGTACCACTCTGATTTATATAAAATGGTGTAGTGTTGAAAGAGTTAGGTGCCACTATCACCATGTCAGATTGATTTGAAGCTCTAGGAAGATAATGTTGGTTGTTTGGCGCTAATATAGTAGGTCCAGTAGGTCCAGGGAAAGCTTGAATAAAATATTGATTATTCAATGCTTGTGGTGATTGACCGGTAATAAAGCTATTTTGCGGCAGTGTTTTGAATTGTTGTGCCATCAAACCTTGTTGGCTAGTGATGACCGATTGAGGGAGAATATGAGGTGATTTAGGTTGAATCTGTTGAGTTCCTTGAGATATTACCTGCAATAAAAAGAAAGACGGTTAGATCAGGCATACAAAAAGTAAACTAAGGTTAACCAAAAATTCATAAAATGAAACAAAAAAACACAAACCTTAGGAGAAACAGAATTAGAGATATTTCGGGCAGCCTGGGAATAGAAAATGAATAAAAATAATGAGATCGACATGCAAAAATAATGTAACACTAGCAAGGTATACTTTCAGATAATGTAAAAAATGGAGGCATTTAAAGAATAATGATCAAGTAAAACAAATATTGGTGCAAAATAATGTGAAAACAATTCAAATTACCAATTTCCCTCTTGGTTCATTAGATTTACCAGGATTGGGCAGAATGGTTGGTTGCTGGTTATTCGGTATAATTGTTGGTAGTTGAGAAGCTACTAGCGTGATTTGTGGTTGTTGTTGAGATGCTTGCATTTGTTGTTGTGGTGAAGCAGCAATGGCTACATTCTTATTCTGTTTATTACCATATTGATGTGTCATTTGAATAAGATTCCCTCCAGCTTGTTGTAAAGCCGTAATAGGCATGATAGTACCATTGTGTGAAAGCATAATTTGTGGTGAATACATCGGACTACATTGGATTGGAACTTGAGGCGAGTAAACTAATGTTTGTGGTTGCAATTGGGCTTGAGATTGGTGTTGTTGTTGATTTGATTGTTGAGATTGTTGCTGATGTTGATGTTGAAGTTGTTGTTGTTGTTGTTGCTGCTGCTGCTGCTGCTGCTGATGTTGTAAATCTTGTTCATTTTTCATCTTGCACTGATCGTTTGTTCCTCACCAAATTTAAATTAATAATAAATAATTGATGAAGTTATAAACTGAAAACACAGTAAATCACATTAATCAGTCAATTCTGAACATCAACATTGAACATTCATACCAAATTTCAAAACAAATCAAAGAGCAAAATAAAGCGACCTCTGGAAACATGAATAGAAGACAAGCTCATTGTTTGGTTGAAATAAAACCGGACGGTTAAACTAACTAACCATAATAGTTGGTTACTTTAACCAAAAACCGAAAAACCAATAAATAAATGAATGTAATAATTGCAGACTCAGCATTGACTATCAAATCAAATCAAATTAGCTCGTAATATTATTAAGAAAATATGTCCCGATCTACAATTTACTGGGCGTTTTTTGATGCTCGTTTGTGTTAATAACTTTTGAACAAGTCAAATCTTGTTGATATACGGCCATTGGAATTCGTGAAATTAAAAAGTCAAAAATCAGTTTTAAGGACATTCAAGGACTTTTCATTACACTAGTAGTCAGGGTTAAGTTAATAAAAAAGGGTCAGATTTAAGTTAATTTTTAAGTGTCGCCATCTCGAGTATTTACCGTTTTAAGAGACACAAAACAATGAAATCTATGAAAAATTAAGTTCGATCTTAAAGGTACTTTTATTTCTTGTTAGATGGCGACTATGAAAAAAATCTCCACTTTTCATAACTTAACCCTGACTACTAGTGTATTTAACTTGAAAAATTTTTAAAATAGATCCAACAGGACCTACCGTCGTCGCCAAACTGAAATGAACCAAAAAGGGGTTTTCAGAATGAGTAAACTACACGGTGGCGAGAAAGTTTATGTGGTTAAGTAACACCCATTTAATCTTTAACCGCTCTTCCCGCGCTTAACCGCCTAAATTGATTTCATCAATTACCATACGGTTATCACACCAATCCAAATGAGACAAATAAGCATCCTCTAGCATAAAACCTCTTCGGCAATTTTCACAACGATAGTTTGCTTTCGTATACTTTTTCCTTGTTTTCATCTTATTAGCAGTGAAATCTCCTTCTATTTGCTCTTGATTATCTTCATCTGGTTCTTTTTGTTTTTGACCTTTATTTAAAGTATTGTCTTCTTGAGTGTACATGGCTTATCAATTGAATGTACCGCTGGATTTGTACAGTTATGGAAAAGATACTTCTCAGCAAAATATGTTGTGAATGTACAATTTGAACACCTGTATTGATTTGGTGCAATTTCATATTGACATCTGTGTTCCAGAAACCTTCTTGTAGATGATGTTTTTTTTCAGGGGGCGGCGGGGGAAACCCCTCACCTCCCAGGCAGCTTACAGCGGTACATCTTCCAGGGCTTAGGGTAGAAAACCCCTCCTTCCGTCAGAGCCGAGGGTTTCCACCCAGTATCATCAGAGGGACTGGCACTTGGAGCTTCTACCCTAAATAGGGGTGGGAGCGGGCCTCCTTCCTTCCAGGCAGCTTAAAGCGATACACCTGGGTGGACCCCTATGTAGGGCACCCTATCTAGCCGTAGCCAGATTGTAGGTGCAGAGCTATGAAGCCGTGGGTCTTCTTCCTTCCCATCGACCCCTACTTGGTAGGACTACCCTAATGAAAGGGGTATTACTTTTTGAGGTTGTTCCGGATTCGAACCCTGGCCAGCATAGTTGGCGATAGCGAACACGCTACCGTTTGCCCCAACTAGTACTGGTTCTTGTAGATGATGTAGTGAAAGAACAAAACTGACAAATTCGAAATTCCACTCGTCATCAACAGTCTCCCAATCTTTATCAGTGTAAGAAGGAGCAGGCTCACACTTGTGTTCGCTCATGTAATCAGGATTGAAGGTTTTAAAATAGCATTTGTTGCAAGTTAATAATGTGGGATTCTTTGTTGGTTCCAGGCTGCTTCGTTTAGAATAACAGACATGAGAAAGCCAGGCCTTGGTTCGATACATGCACGTTTTGCACACTGCAAAGATAGTCGTTCAGTAAAGTCATCATTCCATTGCTTCATGGCTGGACATTTGTGTATATCAAGATCAACTTTATTTTCTTCAATGTAGTCACAGAAGACACAGCAATATTAAGAATTTACAAAACTTGTAGGTGCTTGTGAAAGATCTGCTCTTGGTGAAGGAATTGTGACGTCAGCATCGTACTCAGGACATGAAAGTTCAAAAAGTTTTTCAAATGTGTGACTTGAAAAGGGACAATAAGAACATAAGAATAGCTATAAGCAGAGAAAAATAAGTAGGATTAAATTAATCACACGAATCAATAAAGATGCAATGCGTTATTATCAATTCAATATCATTTTATTTTTGATAGTTCATAGTTACAATTCGCAAAATGTCTCTGAGTTTCAGCAATTTCGTATACATAGAGTAAACAGATTTGTATTCAATTCAAGAAGTAATTGACTGCTTAGAAATTTCGTTAACTTTTTGATTCATCTTGTTAATCCTAGCATAAGCTTTGCTTGATTGTCTCAATCTATTAATATTTTTACCAAAATCATCATCAGGTTTACTCTTAATATCGTTCAATCTCCTTTTACGTCTAAGAGCAGCTTTTTGATTCCTGGTGAGAATGTATTTTGGAACAGGCAGATCAATAAATTATAATAAAATGTCAAAAATTGACATTGGAAATGATCTTGGATCATTCAATTCCATAGAAGAATCTAATGGTATAATTTTAACCTAAATGTGAGCAAAAATAAATTATTGTAATGATGATAACGCATTGTCAAAGAAAATTTCAACATTCAAGAGAGAATACAAAGATTAAACTTACACTTATCCATGTAGGATATCAATCGGTTTTCACTGTCATTGACTTTACATACGTTATTATATAATAACGTATACTTTGGTATAGTAATGTATGAAAAGGTATACATTAAGGTATACGTTAATATAATAACGTATGTATTGTACGTATGTATATATGTGGGATATTTAAGCACAATATTAACGTAATAATTGATCAGAAACAATTACAACAATGAAAACAGGGATCTACTCAACGTAATCAATGTACAACAATGAAATAGAAATTAATGGAAAAAGTTAAAGGAATATAAAGTCATTGATCAATGAACTGATGAGAAGATCAGATCAATTTTTGATTCAAAAATATTGTTATTATCATTACTCTATTTAGTTATTAAAACATACAACCGATAATCTTACATCCGTTTTGATTTAATTGCACCAAATCTTGCAACAAAAGCAAGAATAATATGAAAGGACTGCGAATGTAATAGAATGGTAATTGACTTACACAAATTCAATAAATCTTTTCAGAGAGTTTATGAAATTCAAAACTAACTCTTAATTGTGATTTGAGTGAACTGACACTTTTCTGAACATTTTTCTCCATTCTATACTTTCCATAAGGAAGCTAAGCATATACAAAAGTCCTGGCTTCATGATGATTGTTCAATAGAAATTAATAAACAGTATTGCCAATGCTTTCTCAGCTAATTGACGTATATGTGAAAACCATAGTATAGAATAGAAACAAAATGTCCATTAGTCTCCAATAAAAACCAGATGTTTCATTGCATATTACTTGAAAATGCTTTTGAAATATTTACTGTTAAGGCATTTCCACTTGTTTCGATTGATTTATGACTTAACGTTGTGTTCAATGCAATAACTGTATAATTCAGTGATGTTCATAGAGCATTCTCACTTGTGTGGCTGTTGTTTTCAACTTTAACTTCTTGAAATTTTGCGCATGTGCGAAAAGTTGGTCAAAATTTTCAAAGTTTAAATGTTTAATTTCCACTTTAAATACATTATAGTTGCTTCAGATTATCTTACTCGGTGGGCCGAATGTAAGGCGATAACAAATGGAACTCCAACTGAAATTGCAGGTTTCTTGGTTAATAATATTGTTTGTAGATTCGGGGCTCCAAATATAATCCTTACAGATCAAGGAAAGGCATTCGAGAGTAAACTAATCGAAGAAGTTTACAAACTTTTTGAATCTAAACATACTCGTACCACAGCCTATCACCCAGCAACAAACGGGTTAACAGAAAGATTTAATAAGACTTCAGCGACAATGGTCTCGATGCACGTTAATACGAAACATAATGATTGGGACTTTTGTCTACAATCAGTGTGTTTTGCTTACAATACATCCATTCAAGCTTCCACCAAGTTCTCACCGTTTTTCGTACTTTTCGGTCACGATCCTCACATGTCAACGGGGGTGTTCACGAACACTACTTTGGGATGTGATGATGCCGGTGAATATGCCGCTTTACTTACCACATTTTTAGTTACTAAACGACAAGCTGCCGTAGCAAATCTAGATGTAGTGCAAGCTGCTAACAAACAAGAATATGACAGTCGACATCGACAAGTTGTTTTCGAAGCAGGAGACCAGGTCATGTTGTATACGCCTCGTCGAAAGGTAGGTAGGTCTGAAAAACTTTTACATGCTTTCCCAGGACCTTATAGAGTATTAGAACGAACCGGTCTGAACACCTACAAACTTTTAGAAGATGAGAACAAAAATAAAACCAGCTTAGTTCACGTATCGAGACTTAAACCATACCACCCTCGCATAGAAAAAGCCTGTCTTTCAGAATCGGACGAAATAGTTAGTGACTCCTCCGATGACACTATAATTATCCAGAACGAAATAACAGAGTATTCCGGTGAGATTAGTGTGGAAAGCGAACATCCAGAAGTGGAAGAACACCTGATGCGACCCCTGGGAATTCCAGAAGGACCAGCAACTTGTCCATCTTGTATATATCTTCGAGCTTCATTTCCGTTTCGTGAATCATTTTCAGCGAGAAACGCCCTACCATTCTGCACAGTTACACCAAGAATATGAATGTGTCGTGCTTTTAAATATTGAAAGATTCCATCATAATTGTAGCCTGATCATAAAATGATCAGAACCACCAAGATGTTCAGTGGTTTCACAAAGACTGAAACCACTGAACATCGCATGATTAACAAAAACCAGATCGTTCACGGTTTCAGTCATTCCTCGGAAACAATTAGGTTGACGGGAAATAACGACCATGAGTCCGGCTTTTTCGGTATAGTGTTTAAGAACCTTTGGTTCGTTTACGGCTGTTCCTACAAGTCTCGTTAGACTAATTAGGATGATAGGCATTGGAATCGCCAATCAATATATTCATCGATGTCCATGGAACCCGGACAATCATCTTCTGGTATACAGCCGAAAAACTCGCAATTATGCCGGACGGCACCCCTCGCGCTGCAACCTCGGGTCTCATGGGCGATCGTCCGGTCACGTCTTGAATATCCCCGACCACAGAATCTGCAGGAAAAATTCGGAACGACCTCCTCTGCGGGTTAATATTCTTCTAGTAATTTCAGGTCTTCAGGGGTGGTTCTCTTTAACTTGATATGTTTTTCATAGTTTATGACGTCGGACATCCGAACTGGGGGGTCCTTCCATTTCACATGGCACCATAGGTCCACAGAATCATCTCCGGGTCTAATTGCACGAAAAGTATGAGTAATTGTCTCTATTTCAAAATTTCCGTTGTTAGGAGCAGCAGCTAGGTTTGTCTTTGAGGTTCCGAGAACGTCCATAATATAACAAAATAAAAGAAACTAAAAAAAACTATTTTAATAGGAAAGCAAAAACAAAAATAATAATGGTTAAAGTTGAGGTTAAAGTTAATGTCAACTATGATGTGCTTTGTTTGGTTCCAAAAGGGACTTTGGAATGGTTGTAGTAGGGGAATGTGTGAAGATAGGTTTTCTTCCCCCTTGCTTTCCCCCTTTCTTGTTTACTCTACTACCATAAAACCGTTCCCTTTTTTCGTTATCTTTGCTTTTTCTCTTCTCCCCCCTTCTTGTTGTTTATAGCTAACTATAGCCTAAGGGCAAACATCTGCACTCCATATCTTCCTTATTTTTGTATTCCTGACAACAAGAAAATTATTATCTTGGCAGTTGGAAAGTAGCGGAGGTCAGAAGCTGAAGTTAAACATTGTAAAAAGAAGTACTGAATAAATAAAAGCAGCTTAACTTTATCTTTAAGAAGTGTCTTTTTTCTCCTTTTTGGTTATTCCTTTTTTATCTTTTTCTAGGACATACTTATGTCTTCACAATATTACCCTCCAAGCAATGCTCGGCATTATGGATCCAAAAGATTTATCATTCGCCGAATATGCTCTCAAAGAATTAAAACGAGTTACTGAAGTTCCCCAGGAAATGGTTCAAGAGCAAACAAGAGGATTATAAATTAATACAATTAAATCAATATTAAAGTTTAAAATAAAGATTCATTTTTGTTAACTAAGACGAATTTCTCACGCTTTTTTCCCGCAACAAAATTTCCCACGCTCCCTTACCCCTTAAAAACCCAACCCTTACCCCAACTAAAAGTTGGTCCAGAAGAGGACATTAGTTGGTCCAGAGTGGACAACTTGTCCAGAAGAGGACATTACTACACTACTAAAAATATCCAAAAATTGAAAAAATTTAGCGAGCAAATCAAGGGGGAGACCCTTTGATTTTTTTTAATTTTCGAGTACTGAGAACATCATAAGATACAAAAATCGACAATTAAAGAAACCCTCAGATACATCACCAAGGGTCAATTTCTGGTCAGTTAACCATGATCCAAAGTTATGGATTGATCCTGCTAAATCTGATCACCTCATTACCTCACCTAATATGACAATAAAGTATTAAACCATCTGTATTTCAGTACAGGTAAAGGAACTGTCCAGGTGATGGTTTGGCCTAGGTGGAATTATTTTTATATTTAGTTTGTATGGTACAAAGATATCGTATCAAAGTCGAACCAGGAACTGAATGTTGGCTGTAATCAGACCTCATGACTACAACAGATTCACTCTTATAAGCATATTTATCATAAATTTCATTTAACCTTAAATTTTTCAATCTTTTCAATTTTTCGACTCAAACTTGATAATCAGTTACTCATCAACGACATGCTTTTCAGCATTAATTTATATATCATTAGCTTCGTCTCTTCAAGTTCTAACTAATGATATATAATTGAGCACTGTAACTTGAACCAATCTCTTAAAACATTAACTTGCCCGGCGTCAAAAGTCAATGTAATTATTACATAATGTAATACATAGGGAATATAATGGTGAAAGGCATCTTGGCGACTCCACTAAATTTACAGAATTAAACAATCGACAAAGACAATTAACATATCGTTAGAAATAGTATCTAAATTACTTCTAATTTATATATTTTTCACGTCTGTAACTTGCGTCGAGCTACAAACCAACATAATTTAACTTTCATGCTTATTCAAGAATATTGAATATTTCCAAGGATCATCTTATTTCACCAACAATTAATGTTTTCATCATTAACTCAATACATCATTCGAAAGCTCTTTTCAAGTCCTTGCGAATGATATAAGTTTCATTTAATTAAACTTAATGATTTATTTAAACTTAACCCAAACATTATATTTTCTCAAGTCTCCTGTAAATTAATGATTTTCATGTGGTATTCAAATCCGCCTCATCTTACTAATTGTCTTTAATACTCTGATCATCTTCAGAATGAAATTATTGACTCAACCCTTCGCAGTGTGCTTCACAAATGTCCAACTTAGCTTTAAAAAGCTCAAACATAATTACTTCATTTTTTCCTCTCAATACTTTCTCCTTAACTTATCCTTTCACTAAACCAGTTTTTACTCCAATAACCTAAAGGTCATCTTACAAATGTCTTTGTGATGAAGATGACAGTTGAAAAAGTAAATTTGAATCTTCGCTGAAAATAAGAGTAACCTTAACCCAAAAACAGTTGTGATGTAGACCCAGAGAAGTAAACTTGTAAACCTTTCTTACTGTTCAATAAATTTTTTGCCTCAAACCAACACTGAATTATCTTTTGAAGCAGTTTTCGGAATTTCAAGACGTCCAGCTAATCTTCCAGCTTTCATTTTTGAAAGAATAGCACAATGAGACTAATGAGATCTAATATGGTCAAGATTAGCTACTGATTTCCTAAGAGTTAAAACAAATGGACTCAATTGGTCACCCGGCGCATTTTTGTTTCCTTTCATTATTCTGATTATTTTATTAAATTCATCTTATTGTCTTATTCATAATTTAATGAAAATCTTACAAGGGAAGTGCCGTTGCTGGTACGACCATTTTCAATTTTGTTGCGCTAGTGCGCGGTTCATGTTATTCAAGCACTTTTAAGCGAGGTTATTGCATTGTAACCTATTGAAGTTACTGAAAAATGATTTACAATTTTCATTAAGAGATATTCATTTTCTGCTTTTCATCTGTTTTATTAGGTTGCTCGGGCGATGATTACGCTGGGATAGAATTTTACAGTTTAATCAAATTTTTTCAAAAGTAATTGCCAGAGGCATTTATGCACTTCTCCCAACGGGTCGGTAATTCGGCAATTCCTTTGGCAAACCACTCTGGATCCTTTTCCGCAAAAAAGCCCTCTACAGCCGCCTTTAGCTCGTTAAAGTCGCTAAATCTTTTGCCACGGGTGAATCTTTTTAAATTTGAAAAGAGGAAATAGTCACTTGGGGCTAGGTCAGGAGAATATGGTGGGTGTAAGACCATTGCCCAGTTCAATTCCTTTATTTTCTCTTTGGTAAGTTGTGCCGTATGAGGACGAGCGTTGTCTTGTAAGAAGAGAGGTCTACGAGTCTGTTGAGGGTTTCTTTCTCTAATTAACGGGTCTATCTCTTCAAGTTGACTTCTGTAAAGATCGCCATTAACTGTTTCACCATCGTCCAGCCAAAAAATTTTGATGATTCCGCGTGAGTCCCAAAATACAGAAGCCATGATTTTTTTGTCTCTGCGTGATGATGTTGGCCTTTGGGACAGTTCAGATCGATCTTTCACCCATTCCATCGACTCGGTTCGACTCAAAGGGTCATATAGAGGTAGCCAAGTTTCGTCCATCGTAAAAAGGGCTTTTAAAAACGCGTTAGGTTGTAAGTTATAAGACCTTAAAGCTGCTTGACAAGCTTCCACTCTAGCTTTCTTTTGAGCTGAATTGATAACGTGAGGGACGTTGATTGGTGATAGTTTTTTAAGGTCTAATTCATCTTTTAAAACTTTTTGAATGGCATATGATGAAACACCAGTAGCAGCACGCATCTCACGAGTTGTTGTTTTTTTATCATCAGCTAGCATTTTCTTTACAGAGTGGGCCAAACGGCAATAATCCAATTCTTGAGCGCCTCCAGGTTTTGGTAAATCTTTAACACTTTCACGGCCTAGTTTGAATTGGCGATACCACCATGTCAAAGAGTTGATATTGGGCGATCGTTCGCCGTATAGTTCATCTAGTTTGGACTTTGCGTCTTTAATTGAGAACTTTTGTAAATATAAACTTCTAATAACTGAGCGAATTTCTTCGTCCACCATGATGTTTTTTTGTAATAACTAATTAAAAAAAGAACGCGTTCGATTGCAACTTTGGTATTACGAACTGCGTTAAAAAGCGTAATAGAAAAAGATGCTGCCATCTTAATTAAGCCCAATTAACTATGAGAGCGTAATCACCCCCCGAGCAACCTAATATGTACTTTTCAGTGGCTGCAGTGCATTACAATCTTTAATAAAAAGTGCCTGAATATCATTAACCGCGCACTAGCGAAACAAAAGCAAAAATACGAGTCTAATTATTTTTTGCCCTCTACAATATAAGCCCGAAAAAAATTGAAAATGATCGTACCAGCAAAGGCACTTCCCTTGTTAGATCTATTGCATCTATTGGATTAATGACTCAAAATTATTTTTCACTTTTCAGGACAATTTAATGACTAATAATCAGACAATATTAATTATCAACAATCGCAAGCTTTACAGCCATCGAGTTCCCTGCTCATTAAAAGATGTTACTTCGAGTGTTCCTCCGACTTGAAATTCGAGTGTCTACATACTCACACTAGTCGTAACTCAGATAGCTCTATTTTATATTGACTGACATATTTAATTCGCTTGTTACAATGCTCTGAGACCTTTCCTGTCATTTTGGGCGCTTTGAAATAACGGGGAATATTGCCTTTATCCAATACTGTGTGGTATATCATGACAGGGAAACTATGATAATGCGATAAGAAAGAATAATGAACAAAAAAAGAACACAAATTTTTTAAATGTAAATAAATAATTTTATTGTAATTATGATCACAATTACAATAAGATGAGTAAAGTGAGATCTTTACATATAGCAGAGTATCACATACGAATTTGCATAGTTTACAACAATTTTAAAAACCTAAATTTAGAGATTGGACCAGAATTTAATTTTGATTCAATATCTTTGGCCTAATTTGTTTGTTTATTTGGTTTCCATCTTTTCAGTTTGAGCTTTATCACCAATTTCAACTGGTTGATGGACTTGGTTGGTCAAAGTGATTGGAATCTTCTTTTCTCCTGTAACAGCATTGACAACCTTCTTTGGAGCCTTGATTGAAAGTACACCATCAACTCCTAAATTGGACTGAAGTTTCTCCAATTCCACATTCTCTGGAAGAACATATCGCCTTTTAAATGATCGAGAAATGTATCCATGTTCATCAGATCTTTCTTCGTGTTTAGCTTCGACAACTAGATTATTGTCGGCCAGTTTAACGTTTATCTCTTCTGGTTTGAAATGGGCACAATCAACATTAACCTCGAATTTATCCTCGGAATCCTTGATTGTTGCCATTTCTTGATTAAGATGCTTAGACAATTGATCTAATTGACGAAGAGCACGATTCATTTGACCCCATGATCGTCTAGGGTAATCCATAACTGGTTCACGATAAGCGATGATTGGATAGATATCATCGAATGGATCTCGGAACATTGTATCAATGAGTCGTGGAACAAGAGACATTTTAATAGATTTCGATTGTTGTTGAACACAAAATATATATTGAAAGCACAAGATTAGGAACACAGGAAAAGTTAGAAATTTTGAAGTTTGCAAGTGAGTCTTTTTACTGTTAACTGTTACCAGCTGAGTGAAGCAGCAATTTGTTTTATACTCACTCACTCAATCTACTGGAAGTTTCTCGAGCTCTCAAGCATTTTTCCTGAAATTTCTCTGCGTTCTTTATTTTAACTCAATGAAAATCTTTATTTAACCCTTCAATAATCTTGTGTGACTGTACCACACCCAAAATATTAATAGTAAAAAGAAAGTTTACACCCTTATTGATCGTAGGTACGCCTCGATCGAAGGAAAAATTGTAGCTAGATAAAATGCTAAAGAATTATGAAATAAAAGTTAGTTCAATTGGAACTCAAAAGAAGAAAAGTTGAAAGACATTATTATCAATGTAAAATATCATCAATTGTAAATTAATGTTATTTCAATGTATCTGTTTCCCAGTAACACGGTTTAATGTTGAATTATTATTACAGTGATTTACTTGTATTTCATCGACAAATAAGTCTCTACCATCTTTAATCAACAATACTATCAACTACAATCATCACCATTTGATGGTTAAACCAGTGCAATCATCAATGTGTTGGATCAAATCTCTTTTTCCGTTCTCTTCTGCTCTCTCACCTCTTTTCCTACGGTGAAATTCATCAAGACACTGTTATTAATTGAATAGTAACATTAATTGTTGGAGCAAACACACGCCTAAAGAAAGGAAGGAAGGAAAATTATTATCACAGTGCTTATACTATTAATACTATTGCCATTATTCAATTAACCATATTAATTTATTATTATCATGTTATTACTACGTCTACCAAATGATTTTCAAGTCAAGCCTAACTAACCAACAGCAGTGCAATCAACGTTGAACCTGATATTTTACGCAAGCCAATTTGAAGACACACTAACCAATACTAAACAAGGCAACAGAGAATCAAAAACCAAAGTCGCCAACATAAACTGGAAATATAGTCCAAAAATTTAAGTTGAATAATCGCTGAGTGCAATTGAATTAACTCTTTTTTCTCTCTGTTTTTGCTCTTCTCCCTCCCTCTATCTTTATTTCCCTAAACAATCGTTTACTCATCTATTCCCTCATCCTTGATTCTATCAAATTCTCTCTCTATTTCAAACTTGTTTTTCTTCACGTTTGATGAATAAGTTGATTTTGATTAACGATAATCCAAAGTGACAACTAATGATCGCACTTGTCTGATCTCTGTCTTGGAAAACAGCGTGAGCAAAGAATCTTATTATGGTGAATGAGAATCGCCAGTTCAGACTTTTACATAGTTTTTCATGTCTGGTAACACAATTATAGTCAACTTAGTGGTCATCGTTTTTCGTTACTTGCCATAATCGCAAACACATCATTAACTTTACCCACTAAATCTCAATTTTTATCAATAATCATCATAATCATCAAGCAACAAACTCATTTTGTCGTCTTATCCAGCTTAACCTAATCGTATGTAAACTACCAAATGAGTCGCATGTTAGACTTAACAATCATTGAGAACGATCATTGATCTACAATTGTCTATAAACGTGCATGAGACAATAATCTCAGATACAGAAATTCAGAAACTCATAAATTCAGATACACCAATCACAAGCTGAAACATAGATCTATTGTTTCCTAAGATATCAAAATGAAAAATCTTATAACCAACTCACAGTATCGAAAAATATAAGTGACATTTTTCTGCTCAGGATAACAAAACCGATTGTTAACGAACTTATGAGGGATGGCATAATAAACTGTAATTGACTCTTTTTCGCCTGGTGTTCACCCTTGGTTTGACAAAGCCAAAAGTGACTTGCGAATTTGTTTTGATTATCGCTAGCTACAATATAGTATATGCAATAACGGTGAAAGACTCATACCCAATCCCGAAAAAATACAAATGTTGTCTTGTTCATATTAATAAGATATAATAGTTTTAAGCAAAACAATTGAAGAACATTTAGAACAATTACAAGCTGTCTTTGATAGCACACGTTCAAATCGGAAAACGCTTTTTCTTTGCGAAGAAAATTTAGTATCTTGGACACATCATTAGTACTGGTCAAGAACCCAATGCAGAGAAGATTTGTGCAGTGAGAAATTTCCCTATTCCTTGTGCTTTGAAGGACATTAGAGCTTTCGTTGTTATTGAATCAGATGATAGAAACTATTATAGAAATAGAAATAATATATTAATAGAAACGCAGTTGGAAACAGATGCTTCAGGTGTAGAATTAGGAGCAATTTTGCTACAAAATCATGCAAATAAATAGAAACTTGTCGCCTTTGCAAGTTGCAAATCAACGGTACTCAGATTAATTATCCAATTTCAGACAAAAATGTCTTGCTACATTTATGCTTTTGAGAAATTCAGACATTATCTTGAAGGAATCACATTTGAAATTGTAACCAGTCATTGCGCATTGTCTTTCTTGTGACCTAAAACTAAATTTCTCCTCAAGATTAATGCGTTATGCAATGACACTACAAGCTTTTGAATTCAAGATAATTTATAAATCGGGTAAGGTTCATGCAGACGCTGATTGTTTAAGTCGTTACCCAACTAATGATCCCGAATTTAACAAAATCGATGATGATAATAAGGAACAAGGAGATGATATTTTCACACTCTTAATGAGTAAACGAATAATTACGACGAATACGTAGACGCAGACGAATAAAATATTAATCTCATTGAAGTGAACCCAAGCTCATATTCAAAAATTGACTGACATGGATAAATTCGAACCTAAAATAAAAAATAGAATCTTACTTAATTTCAGCATGAAAAATGGTATTTTTGAGAAAAGCTTCATAACAGACATAGGAATGAACTAGGTTCCAGTTTTACCCGCACCTCTAGTCAAAAAGTTTTGCAATCTTATCATAATGATGCTACTTCAGGTCATTGTGGTCTTTATCAAACATATACAAAATTAAAACCTAAATATTATTGGGCACGAATGACAAAAGATATTGCAAAGCATATTGACTCTTGTGAATGTCAACTTATTAAAAAGGGAATCGGTAATGCAATTTCGCCACTAAAGCCAATTTATATCACATCTCCATTTGAGAAAGTGGGAATTGATATACTTGGTCCTTTGCCTCCTTCTTTAGGGAAAGAATACATCATTGTGACCACCGAATACTTTACTCGGTGGGTAGAAATGAAGGCTTTGGCAAAGAAAAATGCACTAAGTACTGCAAAATTTTTGGTTGAAAATATTTTCTCACACCCCGGCTGCCCTAAGACAATCGTTAGTAATCAAGGCCGTAATTTTATTGCTGATACTATTAAAGAAATCGCTGCGTTTATGAATACCAAATGGCAACTGTCAACCACTTATCATCCTCAGAATAACGGGTTGACTGAAAGAATCGAACGATTTGTCAGATGTTAAGTTATTCTTGTCAGAAAACTAATCGTTTAAGATGGAATCAAATATTACCATTGATAAATTTAGCTTGTAGTAGTGCTGCAAACCAAAGTACACAGTATTCACCATTCTTTCTCATGTATGGAAGAGAAGCTGATTTACCGAGTCACACAAGTTCTGGTTGATGGTAACCTGATCTTAGGTCTAAAATACTAAATTATTGTAAAGCACCTAATGAAATACTTATATTTGGGATTAGGTATGATTCTTTCACCGTTATTGCATTTATCTAGCGATAATCAAAACAAATTCGTAAGTCACCTGTCTTTTTGCTTTGTAAATCCACGGGAGAACACCAGGCGAAAAAGAGTCAATTACAGTGTATTATGCCATCCCCATACTATGCAGATTCGTTAACAATCAGTTTTGTTATCTCTCCTTTTTCACCTTTTTCAACGTTCAACTCTAGTTTAGGTATTTTTGATTATGAACAAATGTTGTGATTGGTTCAATTTCGGTACCAGCGACCAATTCTGATTACTGATTTGCATCAGAAGATACAAAATCATTCATGCGTGCGCTTCATTTGAATCCTCAGATTAAACATCTAAAATTCGTTTTGACTGCACAGATTTTTAACTATTCGCATCTTTTCTATGATGTACTTCAAACAGGTATGCCTAGCGATGTAAATAAGATCATTTACATTTTATATGGGACTTCTTATTTTGATTCTAACTTATTCATTCGAACTTGTTTTTCATACGATGCTGAATCTCCTACGTTGAAGTCTATGTTTTCTCATAATTTTTAGATTGTTTTTCATAGGTTTCATCGTCTTTATTCTTGCTAACCCTTTCGCTGACGTCCATATATTATTGATAAGTTTTAAATATTCAGTGAATCTCACTTCTTTATTTTCTGGATTCAATTTACAAGCCATTGGTAAATTAGCTTCTCTTTCATGCAGGAGAAAGAATGTTGATTCCATCTTAAACGATTAGTTTCCTGACAAGAATGACTTAATATCTGACAAATCGTTCGATTCTTTCAGTCAACTCGTTATTCTGAGGATGATAAGTGGTTGACAGTTGCCATTTGGTATTCATAAACGCAGCGATTTCTTTAATAGTATCAGCAATGAAATTACGGCCTTGATTACTAACGATTGTCTTAGGGCAGCCGGGGTGTGAGAAAATGTTTTCAACCAAAAATTTTGCAGTACTTAGTGCATTTTTCTTTGCCAAAGCCTTCATTTCTACCCACCGAGTAAAGTATTCGGTGGTCACAATGATGTATTCTTTCCCTAAAGAAGGAGGCAAATGACCAAGTATATCAATTCCCACTTTCTCAAATGGAGATGTGATATAAATTGGCTTTAGTGGCGAAATTGCATTACCGATTCCCTTTTTATTAAGTTGACATTCACAAGAGTCAATATGCTTTGCAATATCTTTTGTCATTCGTGCCCAATAATATTTAGGTTTTAATTTTGTATATGTTTGATAGAGACCACAATGATCTGAAGTAGCATCATTATGATAAGATTGCAAAACTTTTTGACTAGAGTTGCGGGTAAAACTGGAACCTAGTTCATTCCTATGTCTGTTATGAAGCTTTTCTCAAAAATACCATTTTTCATTCTGAAATTAAGTAAGATTCTATTTTTTATTTTAGGTTCGAATTTATCCATGTCAGTCAATTTTTGAATATGAGCTTGGGTTCACTTCAATGAGATTAATATTTTATTCGTCTGCGTCTACGTATTCGTCGTAATTATTCGTTTACTCATTAAGAGTGTGAAAATATCATCTCCTTGTTCCTTATTATCATCATCGATTTTGTTAAATTCGGGATCATTAGTTGGGTAACGACTTAAACAACCAGTGTCTGCATGAACCTTACCCGATTTATAAATTATCTTGAATTCAAAAGCTTGTAGTGTCATTGCATAACGCATTAATCTTGAGGAGAAATTTAGTTTTAGGTCACAAGAAAAACAATGCGCAATGACTGGTTACAATTTCAAATGTGATTCCTTCAAGATAATGTCTGAATTTCTCAAAAGCATAAATGTAGCAAGACATTTTTGTCTGAAATTGGATAATTAATAAGATAATTGTTCTTTCATGAAGCACCCGAAATCTTAAATTGAATATGATTGTTGAGAAACATAAAAGAGGATGATTCAATTGATTGTAAATTTACACGTTTAGATTAATATTAAAGCCACACAGAATTTTTGATTCATTAGCAAAATTTTTCATTAAGCGAACAAGAATGTAAAAATGAAACAAAGTAGCGTAACACTTATCAACAACCTATGGTCACAAGCGCAACAAATGAAGTGATCGGATTGAATTTTAGCCAATAAATCAGTTTAGTAATGTATCAAATCGGTTGAATTTACAATTTCATCATTCAATATAAAAATAAATTGCAATCATATTCTTTGCTCATCATGAAAGACTATGTTTGCTATAGACTTTTTATCATTACCTTAATTTTCAATCCATTTTACTTTACACTGTTCAGTGTTAGTTGGACTTTTACCTTCAATTTGATTAGACTAATTCATCTTGCTGTCAAGAAAACAAGAAAACTTATTCATGGAAACTCTGCCAAGATACAATGTTGCGCTTTTATCGATATCTGAATTACTCGACGAAATCTCTTTAATTGTAAACATAATAATAACATGCAGTTAATGCCTAATGATATCTGTATTTGATAACCATGTTGTGCTTTGGTACTTAAGGTGATGATTATGGGTTAAGTTGAAAAGTCCTGTGTTTGTCGAATTGTTTGAAAGATGATTTTAACCTAATCTTGGACCAAGATTGTTGGTTCAATATTTCATTTGCAAAAGTTTATTGACAATATTGGTTTAAAATCTCAAAATTTGGCTCTGAAACTAAAAAGCCTCTTAAGGAACTAAAAAAGTAATTTATCGCTAAATTGGAAATTCATTAATAATGAATGAATAGTGCATAACTGAATCATTGAATCCATGCAATCCCGCACCTATGTATTGCTACTCTTCTAAAAATTTGAAAAATTCATTCAAAGGAAGAAAAACTTGCATGAGAAACGGGTTTGATTAACGTTCTTTACGATTAGTTACCCAAAATCCTGTGACTGGTCCAGAACTGATATAAAATTAGACCGTTTTATTGAAGCTAGAGATGAATAATTTGATTTAATGAGACTTAACTATAGTCTACTATATTTTCAAGATCTATAATAGGTCGAAGTCACGAGATTGATTAACAAATGCATGTACCCAAACCTTGCTATTTTATCAACAATCGTGCCTCCAAATATTATGCTTTAGGGAGATTGTGTAGTAAACGGTTGAATAACAGAATTTTACTTTCATTATCTGACTATCTTAGAGGGGATAGCAAAGATAGGACTAGTGCATTCAGGGGCTTATCGAAGCTAAGAGAAACTCCTATTTATCTTTCCAAGGTCGAGTACATGGGCTTGAGTGAATGAGATGAGAGGAGAGTTACGTTCACCACATATATAAACCACTCACTTTAGTCTCTCCTTTCATTGCAATTTTTTCCCAGTTTTTTCATCTGTTATTGAAAACTCAGTCTAAAAAGTTGTTTACCTGATTTTCGTTACTTAATTCATCATAATTTCAACTTTCAAGCTTTCAATCTTTTCACAATTATTTACAAGTTATGTTTTCGCTGTTTAATTTTCAATTGCCTCAACCTCTACTAAACGTATTAATTGGAGTTACTCTCTTCAGGTTGGTAAAGTATTTGTTTAATACAATAAAAAGGACTCTTTCATTACCAGCTGGTCCTTGGGGTCTTCCCATAGTTGGTTATTTACCCTTTCTTGGTGATCATGTTTACCTTCAGTTTGACCAATTGTCCAAAAAGTATGGACCAGTTTATTGTTTAAAATTGGGTGATTTCGATGTGGTCTTGGTTTGTGATTGGCCTCATCTGAAAGATGCTACTTCCAATGATGCCTTACTTGCTCGACCATATGAAACACTCGTTCCTGGTAGTGAACGCTCATTTGCTGAAATGTCAGGAGATCCTTGGCGTCAACACAAACGTTTATCGTTACACATTTTGCGTGATGTTGGTTTGGGGAAGAATAAAATTGAAACATTGATCAAAGAAGAGATTGACCAGTTTCTAACAACTTTGGATACTGATGGTAAACCTGTTGATTTTAGTCAAAAAATTGGTCCATCGATTTCTAATAACATTGCGATATTGTTATTTGGTCATAAATATGATTACAATGATCCTGTTAAAATCGAAATGGACCGAGCTCGAGCTGCTTTTACTCGTTTATTCAAATTTGCTGGAATCTTAACATTTCTTCCTTGGCTAACTAAGGTATTAATCTTGCTTGGAAAGTTTGATGTTCACCTCATAAAAAAAAATTTCATGATTGTCGATGAATTTGTTCAAGATGAAGTTAACAGACACCGAGAGAATTATAATGAAAATCATGAAGTCGTCGATTACATTGATGGTTACCTGGAGGAGAGGAAAAACCGAGAGAAACAGAACATTCCTGAAGATACTTTCACCCTTAATACATTGAAGCGAAATTCGGCTGCATTTTTTGGTGCTGGATCTGAAACTGTGTACAGTACAATGGAATGGGCAATATTATACCTTGTAAAATATCCAGAATATCAAGACAAAATACGTTCAGAGATGGCTGATGTCATTGGATTTGAAAGGAGACCAGATTATGCTGATAGAGCAAGAATGCCATTTACAATGGCATTTATTCATGAAGTACAGCGAATTGAATCGATCATTGCCAATAATTTACTCAGAAGAGCATCTGAAGATACCAAAATTGGTAATCACTTCATACCTAAAGATACGCTGGTGATGTTCAATTTCTGGTCAGTTAATCATGATCCTAATTTATGGCCTAATCCAGATAAATTTGATCCAACTCGTTACCTTACTGAAGATGGTTCTAAAGCAGTGAAACCACCTTATCTCATACCTTTCAGTGCTGGTAAAAGGAACTGTCCAGGTGAAGGTTTAGCCAATGTGGAATTGTTTTTATATTTAGTTTGTATGGTACAAAGATATCGTATCAAAGTCGAACCAGGAACTGAATTATCTTTTGAAGCAGTTTTCGGAATTTCAAGACGTCCAGCTAATCTTCCACTTTTCATTTTTGAAAAAGTAGTCCATTGAGACTAAATTTTGGTTATTAAGTAAACTACAGAGTTGATGGAAAGTGTCTGGTGTGTAGGCGTACGTCTTTTAGCTGCACAATAGACTTATATCAATTAATTTTCATAATGAATGCCCTTTTCTTGCTCATTTTATCTCCTCCCATACACCAGAAACTTTCTATTCACTCTGTAGTTTCAAACATAAGATAGTCTTTTATAAGCGCCGTCTACTATATTGGGGTAATTAAGCATCTTAGTAGATGGCGTTTATTAAAAATTAATTTATCCATGAAACTGCTAAGTACTCATTCACAAATGATATCAATTGATTTTGGTCCATTTTTGTCTTTCTTATTGAATCTATCAAAATATTATTACCAATAAGATCATTTTGTTTTTTATTCAATAAAATTTTTCCTCATATCTCTTGTATTTGCCAATCTAATCCATCTGTATGTACTCATAACTCTAATAGATTTCATTGCACTTAAATAAAATGAGAAAATTCAATCAACGCGAATCGCTCAGTTACCTTTTTGTATTAGTGGTTCATTATTCAATACATAGATATGGATATAAATTGCAATCTTATTCAAAATTTGCTCATCATGAAAGATTTTTACCGTTTCTCACCCATCACTCACTTATCTAATAGAAACATTGAATAAACTTATCAACTGAATCTTTTTACAATCTATCTTATCTTATATATTAATACCGTTTTGGTATTTTTCTGTCAGTAACTTCATATGTTTGATAGATAAGCTGAGAAAAACTTACTTTAGTTCTTAAAAACATCAAAAAATGTTCACATTGTAATGGTACTTAAAAAATCGCAATTTTGAATTTAAAAATTTCATTGAGGAGACTCTAGCTTCGAATGTTTTGCGTATGTAAACTGATTTGCCATGTTAAATTGATTGAAATCAAAGTAATCAACAGGCTGATAATAAATTGAAATCAAAATTTAGAATTAGTAAAAAAATGATGATAATTAACTAATTCTATTGAACTCTATGAAAAATCAGATTTCACCGATTTTAAATTATATTTATCATGAATATCGATTCCTTTAATTCATAATTTCAATCAAAAAACCGAGAATAAATGTTTCACATGTTAAGAAATTATCAAAATATGTTAACATCAAAAGTAAACTCTAAAAAATGTTTTTGATTATTGTGTTTTTAATTCGCTTTCAAATCGCAATCAATTGAGAGAATTCTTGGTAATTTCAATACATATTATATTGTCTAATAAGGTTGTTAATAAAAAGCGATAAAATTATGTGTCAATCCAGACAGTCACTATCAATATTTTAAAAATGTCCAATTTTTTGAATATCAAGTGTTTGTTTTGGCTTTCGATCACGTTTTTCTTGTTTCTCTTATTATCGGTTTCGGTTTCTGCGAAATTCGTTTATTTTGCGATTTTCTAACCATTTAATCTCCTTCAGGCTTATCAAAACATGTAACATTCGCATCAGCTATTTGTATCTGCGAAGTTGGACATCCTATAGCTGGAGATATTTTCTCGATTGATGGCTTCTTTAGTTTTGTTTCAATTTCTTCAGGCATCCAAGCTTCAGCATCATATTTTTCACAAACATGATCTGAAGAAAAAAGGTCCTCAGTTTGAGTGCCTTTGAACTTACAGTATCTAGATTTCTTTTAAATAAATTTAAAAACAGATTGGGCTAAGATAACTATCCTATTACTAAAACACAACGAAATTGAAACTAAATAAAAACTTACGACAGTAAGAGACATCTTAGTTAGCTTGATGTGACAAAATCGGGAAGCAACGGAAAGTGATTGTGTGAGGTACGGAATAATTGTCGATTTACGCCTGAAAAGAAATTAAATTTTATATAATTTAATATAATGAAATTTTTTTTCATTTTGCAAGGCAAAAATTATTAATAAAACTTACCAAAAATTGTTTGATAATGAAAAGGCTAAAAGTTATTAGTACAGGGTACAAACCGAATATCGAATACACGTTTCAGTGAAATTGAAATGCTTACAGCAAAGTGAGTTGCCGAAATTATGTTATTGTGAGAGTAATCAAGATGGAAATGCAAACCTTTGCAATAAAGTCGAGTTTTAAAAGTGAGTGAGTTTAGAATATTTTCACTAAGAAGTGTATTGTTAGCAGAATGATACTATGATATAATTTTAGGTTTTTATCAGCAACAATTGAAAACGGTTTCTGTACAATGTAATTAGAAACAATAAACAATGCTTCTTTAGATTCTTACAGAGCTATTTTACAGAATATCTTTATCTTGTTAGTCTATAATTTTTCTTCGTAAATCTTTATTTTTATTTTTTACCATGCATTCATTTTCAATCGATAACGCTGTTCATTTCAGTTACACTTTGGATTGAATCTCTGATTAAAAGTCACTTGCATGTATTTTTCATTATAAAATGCTTTTTTGTTCAGACGGTCTGAAATTCGACTGTCCAAATGTGGTTTAGAGATAAATTTGGTAAAAAATTATTTAATATTAAAATTAAATCACTATCCAAAAGTTATTACACGGGAATAATGTAAAAGGAGGAAATAATTTTCAGGAACTAAAAAAGAAGACATGATTTGTTTGGGATCATGAATAACAATCACAATCAATATTCCCAAAATGAGACTTTGTTAAGGTTGCTAATAAAATTAACCTGATTGGGTCTGTTAGCTCAAGTTTAGAACTGATGTTCGTCAAGGATCATTGTTCGGGACTAGTTTGTCGATAGTTAGAGGTCTAACCTAGAATGATGCAGGAGGAATCTTCATCAGATTAAAATTCAATGTTGATTCAATGAAAGTAAATTAACACAAACTATCAAACCTGTGAGAAAATAAGCCAAAGTGATGAGCCCATGAAGTCTCATTTTGTGAATATTGATGGAATGTATAACAAATAAATATAATGTAGCACACAACATTACAAGATAGGAATTGGTCCCAGTGATCGGCGGTACAAGTTGATTAGCGTTTTAGTCTTGATTGCCAACATAAGTTGAGAAAACTCTTGACAATATACTATTTGATTTAGCTCCAGTCGGTGCAGTTCCAGATGGTGGAAGTAAACCTGTACATTTGTCTCCTTTGTAAGATTGACAGACAATCTCGGGTAATCTTGATGCAGCCAGACGCACCAATTTACGGCTAATTTCAACAGCTTCATCACCACATTTGGTTCGTAGATTGGTGGTTACACAATCCTCGAAACGTTTAAAGGCACAACAACTGGTTGAAATGCGTTTGTCCCATTGAATGTCAGAGATTATTTCCAAAGCTGCTTTTAAGTCTTTTGTACATGTCTTTGAGTCTTTTCGTGATTCGGAGACACATTTAGCATGTTTCTTGTAGTCTTCTCGTAATTTGGTTCCAGCAGTACAGAACTCATCAGCAACTTTTTTAACTCCACTTCCAAGGAACTCAATCAATTCTCTCTGAGATTCTGTGGCACATTGGGTGGTAAAGTTTTTGTGACATTCCTCGGCTTCACGGATAAATCCACATTGTCGCTCAATTTCTTCGTCAGTTCCAGTAGCATCTATCAAAATGACATAAAAAATGTAAACATCAATTAGCTAGACACATTTAAAATTGAGCAAAGGTTGAATCAAGAATTGATCAGACCAATAAAGAACTAATTAGCACAGTTAAAAACTTTCATTTAAAAATAAAAGTAAATTGCTGTTGACAGTTCCAAATTTTCCAACTCAATGATTATTGATTGTATGCTTACCTGAAGGATTATTGGTAAAAACCAATAAAGTTGCAGCGCAAAGATCAAGCTCTCGAAGGTGACATTGTTGACTCTCAATCTGACCAATGCCTGAAAATATGAGAAAATAAGTTGATTAATAAGTTGTTTGATATAAAATAATAATTATAATCCAAACGATGAAATGTGAATAATAGATTCGTTTAGATGAGACAAGTTAATCAAAACATATCTTAACTGTCACTTACACATGAAGGCGAGAATAAACGCAAAAACCAAAAATTTCATGTTGGATAACTTGATTTATGTACTTGTTTCTTTTGCTTATGAATAAAGTAAACAGTCGCAAACACAAAAACTGTAGTGATCAAATGAAAAATATTGAAAATGTAATGTTATTTATATCAATTAAACTTGAAGTTAACTCCTTCAAGACCGTAAGAAAGTTGAGTTTAAGAAGTAAATCGAACAGAATTTTAAGGAAAAACTTCCAGAACAACGAGTGACACCATTCAATTATAAATTATTCAAAGCCATTCCTTTACCTTTCCACCCATAAATAACGCACCAGGCAACTTCATAATTAAAACAATCAATGGAAATCCCCTTCAATTAGAGATATTGCCTTTCAAGCTAAATATGTAATTTGCTGATTTAACTTTTAATTGTGATTTCTTACTTTCTTCCATTTACTTTTCCGAATCACTTTTTCTGTTCATTTGATTGTCCATTGATTCTTGCGTTTTCCCCTTCAGACAGAAATTAATGTATTGTAATCAAGCAAACATTCAATTACATTGGAAAATTTCCGCGCAATAATCAATGAAAAGTGATTGATCTGGGAATGGCTTAAACAAATGCTAGTATTGTTTAACAATTAGAGGTCGATGGTTGTCAGTTATTTGAACCACAAAATGTTCCAATAGAGCCCAGAAAGAGCATTTGAACCAATGCTTTGGTGCAATATTGAGAAGCGATCTCAAGACTTTGTTGGTCGCAAAACGAGAATAAAACCGTTTTTGTTCAGTGATTGAAGTGTTTATGAAAAATAAACTTTATTGCTTCAAATAAACAGAATATTAATTGTAATAATTGTAAAACAAATCAAAACTTGATGTACTTTCTTGACTTTAGCATTATGCATTAAAATCAAACAATTGCCAATATTAATGTCAAGGTGCTTTTGAACCAGAAAAAGCAACATAACAGCAACTTTGAACAAGTAAAATGAATAACTAGTTAATTCAACCTTAAAGATTCAAAGTTTATTTAAAAAATAACCAGGTAAAAAAGTCATTAATTAAATCAAATGAATAAGTTAACTGGTTCGATTGTCTTTAAAGATTGTTAGAATTGATTTATAAGAAATAATATATTATAATAGTTACATTAAAAATTTGGATGGAATTGAATTTGATAATTGTCATCTATTTACAATTTGCACTGATTATCGCGATGAATCAACCAGAAGCACAACTGAACAAATATTGCTCTTTGTCTCTGTACTTTTGTAACACTTTTCAAAACAAGATTCGATTCGATTGCGGAATCTAAATCTTCAACTGTAGATAATTTATATTAATTAAATCTATTTACTGAGAATTTGAAGGTATATAAAGCTTAACAGATGAAATAGACTAACGTTTAGAAGTTTGCTTTAAACATTATAAGTTCTGTTTTTCCTTTTTCTATTCTCTTCGCATAAAGGTTCGAGATCGGTTTTCTCTGGTAATCATCATGATTAAGCCAACTTTTACCTTGATTCTGTTACTTTTCGCGTTAACAGCAGTCCAAAGTGCATCTGATGGCGAACTGGTTTTCAAAGAAATATGTAATTGGCGTACTAGAGAGATAAAAGCAGGAACTTTTGATGAAGCTATCAAAGCTATGAACGTTTGTCGGGTAAGTAAAGTTTTTATAATAACAATCGAAATTTGTTTATTGATGAAAATTATTCAAATAAACTAATGAATTACAGGAAAAAGTATTGTCCAAAGATGAACTTGCTACAGTCGATAAATGTGAAAGTGTTGTACCGATGACCAAGGCTGACCAAGTTACCAAAACTTGTGCTGATTTCAATGGTAATAAAGACAAGTATTCTGAGGTATTTATTCACATTTCGCTGTTTATTTTATTATTTACAAAAATCGAAGATATTTCGTCTATTTAATGCTGATCATTTCTTATTAAAGCTTGTAGAATGCGAAAAGAAAGCTGTTGGTAACAAGATTGAAAAATTCATGGTAAGAAGACTTTCATTCAGTAATTTGACAAATGCAAAATGTGAACGGATTGATATTACACTTTGTTTTGATCAAGCATCATTATTGATAATCAGAGTTTCCTTGAATGAATAGAATTTTTCGACTCAAATTATGGATCAATTTAGCTTTGCAATTTTCGTACATCGAGACATTGGCATGCGATTGTTTGCAATTGAATAACGACGATTACACCTTTACTGATACCTAACCAAACTCTTCACATTTTGTTTCGGTCAACTAACATTATTATATCATAATATGATTCCAATAACTGAATCGATTCTTTTCTTTATCAAACAGGGATGTTTCTTAGCCTTCGAAAGAGATAATGAGGGTTCGAGTGCTCAAAAAGGCCGTTAGTTTGGTGGAAAGAAAGTTAAACGATGAAAATAAAGATTTGATTCTCCCAGTTATCATTACAATATTGTATCAAGTTTACTTTAATAAAAAGCAATTGAAAACATTAATTATTGTTTACTCATTACCTTTCATGACAAATACAGCTTAAACCAACTCGAAGATAGATCGGAAATTACAATGATTTTGTTAGCAATAATGTGATAACTCTAATTAGTCCATAAATATCAATTTCATAACGCAACTCTAAAAACAATAAAAATCTTAATACATGTATCTAGTAGCTTTTAATTTTGCCTTTTACTTAACTTATCATTAATTTTGCTAAACTTTAATTATTCAAATAAACAGAATTGACTGCTAAAATAAATCAAAGCTTGATTTAGTTTCGGCAGTTTAGCATTATCGTGCATTATCGGACAATTTTAATACTAAATAAACAATCGGTTTCAATTTACTTTTGAACATACAACAAAACAATAACTTTGATCCGAAGGTGCAAATTAACCTTGAGCAAGTAAAATCGTACGCTAATTAATTCAATATTCAATACCAATCGTGATCTTTATTTACAATTTACAACTTGATTCTCGACAATTAATCAAACAGAAGCACAACTGAGCAAATGAAATTTAGATTAATTGATGTTTATTACACTTTTGAAAACAGGCGATCGGATGGATTGCGAACTCTAATGAATAGAACTTATTTTCAGAGTAAATCTTCAGCTGTAGATAATTGATATTAAATAAAACCAATTCGGTGATGATTTGAAAGCATATTAAGCTTAGTAGATGAAACAGACTAACATACTGCAATTTACACTTGAACATTATAAGTTCATATTTGTCTTTTTCTTTTCTCGAAGAAAAGTTCAACGAAAAATGTCGCTGGTAATCATTATGAACCAGAAAACTTTTACTCTGTTTCTGTTAATATTCGGGATTTCGTTAGCACAACGTGCATCTGATATTAGAAAGATTTTCATAGACTTTTGTGCTCTTCGTATTCAACGAATAAAAGAAGGAACTTTTGATGAAAATAACAAAGCTACGAACGATTGTAGGGTAAGTAAAGTATTGTCGACCTAAAAAATCTGTCACCAAGTATGTTTTTTTGGTAACCAAAAAATCAAAATAAAGTCTGAATAAATGTCTAACAAAACAAGTCTAGTCAATGATCTAGACATTGTCGAAAAATGTCTGAAAAACTGATTGGGACAAACTTTGTATTAGGATAAACCTTATAATATCAATCGAAGCTTGCTTGTTAATGAAAATATGCAAATAAATTAAATAATTACAGGAAAAAATGTTGACCGTAGATGAAATTGCTACAATTGCTGAATGTGAGCGCATTTTACTGATAAACGAGGCTGACCAAGTTACCAAAATTTGTGCTGATTTCAATGGCATTAAAGGCAAGTTTACTGAGGTATTTATCCACTGTTTTATGTTTACAAAAAATCGATAAAAATATGATAATTCAGATATCTAATACTAGAATTTCTTATTCAAGCTCGTGCGATGCATAAAGCGAGATATTGGTAGCACAGTCCCAAAATTCTATGTAAGAAGACATGCTTAATTTAGCGAATGCAAAACGTTGTTTTTGAACATCGTTTTGATCGAGCATTATCTTCGCTGATCAGGTTTTCGGTTTAATTAATATAATTCTTTCCATTGAAATTACTGTTCAATCTAGTTTTGCGAATACGAAAATCCATTTGCTAATTGAAGCATTACCATTACCAGGAGTAAACTGAAGAACAACTGAAAATGGCCCGATATTCGAGATACTAATCGACTTGGTTGCTATTTGAACCGATTCTTCGTTAAAATTGTCAATAAACTCATAAAAACCCTAAATAAATAAAAAATGTCAAGGTACTTTTGAACCAGAAAAGGCAACATAACAATAACTTTGATCCGAAGGTGCAAATTAACTTTAATCAAGTAAAATCATTAGCTAATTAATTCAATGTTAAAGTTTATTTTGATGAAATAATCCGGTAAAAAATCATTAATTGAATCAATTGAATAAGTTGACTGCAATCTGGTTTAATTGTCTTCGGAAATTATTGAATTAATTTATATCAAATACTAGTTACATTGAAAATTCGGTGGGAATTGAGTTTCTAATTGTCATCTATTTACAATTTGCACTGATTATCAACAATCAATCAACCAGAAGCACAACTGAACAAGCAAAACTGATGATTTAGATTGCTTGATCTTTGTTTGTCTATGTATTTTGTTACACTTTTTAAAAACAAGATTCGATTCGATTACAATTATAATGAATAGAAATTATTTTTCATTGTAAATCTTCAACTTCAGATAATTTATATTGAATAAAATCAATTTGGTTGAAATTTGAAAGCATATAAAGCTTAGCAGATGAGATAAACTAACATTTTGAACTTGAAAATTACAAGTCCTCCAAGTTTAGCTCTTTCTTTTCGAAGAAAAGTTCAAATCTTCTCTGGTAATCATTATGATAAAGCAAACTTTTACTCTAATTCTGTTAATATTCGTAATTTCGTTAGCACAAAGTGCATCTGATAGTGAACAGGTTTTCAAAGGAATATGTGATCTCCGTGCTAAACAAATAAAAGAAGGAACTTTTGATAAAATTATAAAAGCGGCGAGCGATTGTAGGGTAAGTAAAGTACATTGTATTGCGATTGTATTGTCGACCAACAAAGTTTGTCACCAAATATGCTTCGCTTTCAAACAATCGGTTTCGAGAGTACCAATTCATTTTACAACATTTCTTTTGTAATCACAAAGTCAAAGCTTGAAAGAAAGTCGAATAGACCAAGTCTAGTAAAACAAACAGACACAGTCTAGCCAGACAAACTTTGGTGGTCAGACTGCATCATGGAAATCGGAATTTGCTTATTGATGAAAATATTCAAATAAATTAAATAATTACAGGAAAAAGTGTTGACCAAAGATGAACTTGCTGCAATCGCTAAATGTGATAGTATTTTACCGTTGAACGAAGCTGATCAAGTTATCGAAACTTGTGGTGATTTTAATGGCAATAAAGACAAGTTTGACGAGGTATTTATTAAAATTTGACTGTTTTGTTTTCTTGTTTACAATAATCGAAGGTAATTCAGTTATTTAATGCTAGAAATTTCTTATTCCAGCTCATAGAATGCAAAGTGAAAGCTGTTGGTAGTGTAGGCGTAAAATACTTCGTAAGTAAACATTCATTTATTAGTTTGACTAATGCAAAATGTGAACGGCTTGATTTTGAATATCGTTTGATCAAGCATTATCATCGCTGATCTCTTTAACTAATATATTTCTTTCGACTCAAATCGCTCTTCGATCTAGTTTTGCGAGTTCGACAATCCATTTGCTGATTGAAGCATTACCATTAAAACCAAACTAAATTACAGAACAACTGAAAATGGTCCAATATTCGAGATGCCATCGTCATTATCCATTCAGTGATCGAACTGTTTTCTTATTCCATAATCATAAATTTTATTGGTTTAAATGAACAGAATCGACAGTAAAAATGAATCATAGCTTGATTTACTTTCTTTTCTTCAGCATCATGCATTAAAACCAAACAAATACTAAAATAATAATCAATTTCCATGTACTTTTGAACCAGAAAAAGCAATATAACAATAACTTTTATCCAAATGTGCAAATAAAACTTCGCAAATAAAGCTGTTCAAAATTTCATTTCAATAAAATAACCTGAAAAAGAAGTCATTTACAATTGAAATATATTTGCAATTAATCAACTAGAAACATAGCTAAACAAATTAAATAAACTGATGCAAATTCGGGTCCTTCAATTTTCAACTACAGACGATCAGATGGATTGCGAATTCTAATGAATATAAGATTATTTTTAAAGTGCGTCCTGTAGATATTTTATAACGACGAAAAGTAATTTGCTGAAGGTTTGAAAGCTCAGTAGGTGAGGCGAACTAAAACTTTGAGATTTGAAATTGATCAAATCAGTTCTGTTCTAGCTTTGTCTCTTCTCAAAGAAAAGTTTCTCTCTGTTTATCATCATCACAATAAATTCAAACTTTTACATTGATTCTATTAATATCCGCGTTTTAGCCTGCCTAAAATGCATCTTATGGTCGAATATTTGAGATGGCAAGTCGACTTGGTAGGAGTGGAAGAACCAGAGGAATACTTAGTTTTATTTTTTAATGATTCTAAAGGACCAGGTCCAATGTTGATTCAATGACGATGAATTATCAACTTTTGAGAAAACTCTTGACAATTAACTATTTAGTTCCAGTCGGTGCAGTTCCAGAAGGTGGAAGTAAACCTGCACATTTGTCTCCTTTGTAAGATTGACAGACAATCTCGGGTAATCTTGATGCAGCCAGACGTACCAATTTACGGCTAATTTCAACAGCTTCATCGCCACATTTGATTCGTAGATTGGTGGTTACACAATCCTCGAAACGTTTAAAGGCACAACAACTGGTTGAAATACGTTTGTCCCATTGAATGTCTGAGATTATTTCCAGAGCTGCTTTCAAGTCTTTTGTGCATGTCTTTGAATCCTTTCGTGATTCGGAGACACATTTAGCGTGTTTCTTGTAGTCTTCTCGTAATTTGGTTCCAGCAGTACAGAACTCATCAGCAACTTTTTTAACTCCACTTCCAAGGAACTCAATCAATTCTCTCTGAGATTCTGTGGCACATTGGGTGGTAAAGTTCTTGTGGCATTCTTCAGCTTCACGGATAAATCCACATTGTCGCTCAATTTCTTCGTCAATTCCAGTAGCATCTATTAAAATAACATAAAAGATGTAAACATCAATTAGCTAGACACATTTAAACTTGAGCAAAGGTTGAATAAAGAATTGACCAGACTAATAAAGAACTAATTAGCACAGTTGAAAACTTTCACTTAAAAATAAAAGTAAATTGCTGTCGACAGTTCGAAATTTGTTGACAACAAAGTTGTTTGTCAACAACTGGTTGAAATGTCCTTATCCCATTGAATGTCCGCGATTATTTCCAGAGCTGCTTTCAAGTCTTTTGTACATTTCTTTGAGTCTTTTCGTGATTCGGAGACTTGTTTTTAGCATGTTTCTTGTAATCTTTCCGTAATTTAATTAATAAGTAGTCTGATATACTAATTATAAGCTATTAGG